CAGAGAAGAAGGTAGAAAGAGAGAGATATAGAAATATCAATGATGAAAGAGAATCACTAATTGGCTGCCTCCTGCATGCCACATTTTGGGAATCAAACCATGATCTCTGGGTCATAGGTTGACGCTCAACCACTGAGCCACGTGGTGGGGCTCCAACTATTTTTAATTACAAACTAACCTTTGACTATTTGGAATTTACCCTATAGGCAATACTTGCAAAAGTATGCAATAACACAAGGGTGCTCACTGCAGCTTTCTTTGTAATGACAAATTTCACAGAATTTATATGTCTACCTATAAGTGAATAACTAGGTAAATTTCTTACAATGAGAATACTACACAAGAATATTTATAAGCAATAATTAATAAGATTTTTGCCGAGACCGGTTTGGCTTAATGGATACAACGTCGGCTTGGGGACTGAGGGTTCCAGGTTCAATTCCGGTCAAGGGCATGTACCTTGGTTGCAGGCATATCCCCAGTAGGGGTGTGCAAGAGGCAGCTGATCGATGACTTCTCTCTCATCAATGTTTCTAACTCTCTCTCTCCCTTCCTCTCTGTACAAAATCAATAAAAATATATTTTTTTTTAAAAATTAATAAGATTTTTAAGATGTAAGTAAAGAAAGTAACCTACAATGTGATAAATATACTCATATACACACATAAATACAGAAAGATTGTATAAACACACATATACATATATATTTGTAATAAGCATAACAATTTTGGAAAAATAAAAAAGAAATATTAAAAGAGGTTGACTTTGAGGATTAGAACGGGTAAGGAGGAAGAGAAAAACTTATTAAGTGTTAAAATTTGTCATCAAGCAATAATATTAAAAAACATATGATATCACTTTGGAGAATGATTTGGCAGATCCTTACAAAGTCAAACATACAACTACCCTATGACCCAGCAATTCCACTGAGTGATTAACCCAAGAGAAATATCTACAAAAGGTATGTCCACAAATAGACTTGTACAAAAGTGTTCACAGCAGTCCTATATATATATATATATATATATTTTTTTTTTAAAGTTATTTTCTATTTGGTGAAACATTATTATACTTTCCTTTAGTTACTTATATATAGTTTCCGTTCGTTATTTGCACATAGTCTTTTTTTTAATTATTGAATTTATTAGGGTGACATTGGTTAATAAAATTATATAGGTTTCAGGTTTACATCTTCTGTATTTAAAGTCTTTATCTGGTAAATCCAATGTTTGAGTTACTTCCATTTCTATTGACTGCTTCTCCCCACCCCCCAACTCCCATATGGGCTACACTTCCTTGTTCCTTTGTACATCACATCTTTTTTGTTGGAAATTGTACAACTTAAATAATAGAATGTGGCAATTTTAGAAATCAAATTCTCCCATTTCCAGAGTTTGTTGTTATTTTTTATCTAGTGACTTTTCCAAATTAATGAAATATGGTAGCAACCATATTTGGGTAAAAACTGCTGTTTGAATTTTAACCCTGCTATTCTGGCTTCTGTACCTGCTTAAACATAGGGTAGTTACCTCAGCTTCCAGGTGGAGACCTGGAGGCTAAGGCAATTTTCCTGTGCCTTAGGAAATTGTACAACCACAGGAGATTGATTCCTATTAACTCAGTAGCTTCAGGGGTAGAAACTGTAGATAACCTGCTTATGTATTACAGGCTATCTTTCGCAAGATAGGGCCACATTCCAATGTCCAGCAGGATGTGGCTGGGACCGACCCTGTGGGCTGTTTCCAGCCTTTAGAATTTAGAATTTAGAACAAAGGAAAATTCTTGTGGTTTGGACCTTTAAAAGGACTGCCTACACCTGGAACGGGCGGTCGTGGCCACCTGTGTGTGGTGCTCTTGCGGCCCTCCTGGCCAGTTCAATAAATCCTTGCCTGCTTTTTTTTAATCAATCATCAGCCTCTGGTGGTCTTATTTTGAACCCAGGGTTCGACCCCACAGCACTAATTCTATAAAGTCTGTATTCTTTGTCACAATCGGCCACTGGATTTTCTTCTTGGTTAGCTTACTGGCCAGCTAATGGCTGGACAGAGACTTCCATACATGCCTGGAACTAACAAGTATCCCAGTCTTTGCAGAGGTTCTGTGTATTGTGTCAAAGCACTCACCCAGGCAGTTTACAACTCCACTTGAGCATTTACTTGCTGCTTATGCAGAGCCCCAAGTTTAGCCAGAGGTAAGCTCTTGGGACCTTCTATTGTCCTTCCAGAGCACACACAGAGGCTTGGGCATACATGCAGCCTTATATTATGTACTTGGTGTCCTAGATCAGGGATTTTCAACTGTTTTTATCTCATGGCACACATCAACTGATTACTAAAATTTTGCAGCACACCAGAAAAAATAAGTATAATTTTGATTCATTCATACTGGGTGGCTATGTTGTGTTGAGATTGTCATTTTTTAATTTGACAATCGAAGGCAAGCATGTCAAACTCACAGCCCACAGGCTGCATGCAGCCCACAATAAATATTTTTGCAGCCAAGCCAATATAACGGTATGTAAGAAACGTTTTAATAAAAATTTGGTAACTTAATTTTTACAATATCCTGTTATACATTATTATTAATAACTACAACATTCGCTAATGACTGATTACTATAATCATGTTGCATTCAATTCCCTTACACACTTTACACGCAGGCTCACCAATTCTCTCCACTAATACTAGCAGCGAATATTTTAGCAGCCAATTGCCACATTATTAGTCTTGGACTGACTTATTTGGTGTGTGCAACAGGGAATATTTCATTTTCGGAGAACAAGAAAAATAGGTTTATTTGCGTTATGCTTATTAATTTGTGTAGTTATCCAGTGTCTGGTAAGTTAATGTTCAAGAAAAATATTAATTTTTATTTTAAAATATTCTATTATTTTATGTTAAAGATTATTCATTTATTTCTAGCCCTTTGTATTCAACATGTCTCTATCAAAATAAACCTATGTTTCTATGAAAATAGAAGCTTTTGCTTTTTTTGTGGCCCACATACACTTAAACCTTGTTTATTTGGCCCATGTTAGCCTTTGAGTTTGACATGCTTGATCTAAGGGAAAAGAGGTCAGGTATTGCATGTTTAAAAGTTCTTGCAGCACACCAGTGTGCCTTGGCATACCGGTTGAAAATTGCTGTCCTAGAGTCCTAGGAATATGTCACACATTTCCAAAGCCTCCTACAAACATCTCATAGCCCAGATTTTTCTTTTTATGTTTTTTTGTTGGTTTGCTTTTTCCCCCCAATTGTTATTGGCACCTTGTTGCTGATTGTTTTTAACAAGCCCCAGGAAAACACTGTTTGCACATGACAAGTTCTCAATTAGGTTACATAAAAACAAGACTTTTGAGTAGGGTTTCCCAGGGAATGACAGGTCACATAGTGACAATTTTCTGAGGATGGGGTTCTGAAAGAGTTCTAACTCCATTCTGACTCTGCCAGTGCCAACTATTTTCACTATGCCTGCAGGCTGTTGGTTTTCAAGGCTACCATGGAGCTGGGGACAGGAGGGTACAAGTCAAAAGGCCACAAAGCTTGCTGTTTGTACAGAAATTAAATGATTTCTTTTGTTGTTGCTGTTGTTTTGATCTTTCTCTCCAGCTATTTGTTTTTAATAAATATTCTCCTACATTGTTGTAAGCCACTGGTTAATTTCCAACATTCTGAAAAAAAGTTAATTTTGACAATTTTTGCCAGTGTTCTTGGTACTTTATAAAGGACAGTATTTTCAGATGTTATTTTCCCACCCCCAATGACACCACTCTCATTCTCACTTTTAGATTTCTCTGAAAGATATTAAACTACTCATAGCAATAAAAATAATAATATGTTGTGGAGTTTATAATATATTTAGAAATACAATAATAGCACAAAGAATAAGATGGGAGTAATGCAAATATTCTGCTGTAAAAATCCCTTACATTTTATGTGAAGTATTATAATATTATTTGAAGATAGACTGTGATAAATTTAAAGATCATATTGTAAATTCTAGAGCAAACACTAAGAAAAAAGAAATAATCCAAAAAAAGAGAGAAAATAAAATACTAAAAATTACACAATTAATAAAAAGATAGCATGAAAAAGACAAAGGAACCAAAGAACAGACAAGACAGAAAACAAAAAGCAAGATGGCATATTATACTGCAACTACCTGTGTGTAGATATTTTACTGTCTCTCCCTGTTACTCTCCATCTATCTTCATACATCTATTTCTCTACTAAATTATAAAGCTCACTAAATGTGAGTGATAAACAGCAATAAACCAAAATTAACTGCTGTAATGAATACTAGTACACTAGTAATCCTAACATGTATTTTGGAATCTTGGAATTTATAAAATTTTGCTAAGTTAACTAATTCAAATGTAAGATAATATGGAAAAATATAAAACTCATCTATCTATATAAAAATAAGTCCCGGAATTTGAATACTAAGTTATTTTAGAAATTTCTTTGTATAATTCCTTCATTTTATAATTAATGAAACTAGGAATTAAAGTGATTGAGTAACTGGTAATTAATCAAAAGAATCACACGACCAGTCAGTAGTACAGCCATAATAAAATTCACATTTCATAAGTTCTAGTTCAGTTCTCTCAAAAGAAAAAAATTTCCTTGCAACACCAACCACATATATAACTATATATAATTAAGGTGTTCATTTCAAATGATTCATATCTAGCAGGTCTATCCAGATCTCTATTTGGAAATATATTGTTAATTAAGTTGTACACCTATTTGAAAATACTCAAACTTTAAAAAATACAAATTGTTAAATTTAGAATATCAATTAATTCAAATTCTCATCAATTAATCAAGGTCACTGAAGTATCCTGTACTTAAAGAAAAATAAAATAATGCTTTGGCTAAACAATCATTTAAAGCACTCACTACCAAGTTTAGAGAATACAATTTTCAAATCAATGACTAATCATTCACACCTACACCAAATGATAACAAAAAGTATGTAAACTCTCTGAGCAGCATTACCTGTAGCTCCTAGCGGGTGTCCCTTTGAAATCAATCCACCACTAGGATTTATGACCCACTTTCCTCCATAAGTATTATCTCCTCTATCAACCAGTTTTCCACCTTGTCCTATAGAAGGGAAAATATATTCACAAATGTTAAAAATAACACTGAAACATATTATTTGTTTTTTAAACTTCCATAGAGCCACGAATTTCTTACAGCAAACATTTCTTAACAGCTCAAGCTAACATCAAATTGATGTAAGCACATTTAAAATTTAGGTAATAAATATTGAGTAATAAAGGCCTATATTTTCTGAACATTTCCTATATGAAAAAAGCATCTATTTTTTTCATAGATTATGTTAAAATATGTATACAGATAATAATTTAATTTAAAAAATGTGAAAAAAAGAAAATGCATGTAATAAAACTAATTCAGGCAGGATATTAATCTTGTGTAAAAAAAGATAAAAGCATGTTAAAGCCTGATTGTAAAATATTAATGCAATAAACCATCATAAAACTTCACATATGCCCTTAAAAAAAAAAAGCATCTATTAATTCCTAAGAGTTCTTGGCTTCCAAAACTGCTACAAGTATAATAGAAATTCAAAGAATCAAAAGAAATGGTTACAATACTATAACTAAATTATATCCATTTAAAAAATTTATAACTTTGCCAAATTATATTCATTTCCCTACATTTTTAACTGTACTCTCATATACTATACAAATATTCTTAATAAACAGGAAAGAGGGAGGGAGGGACAGAAAAAAGAGCACTTTATGAAATAAAGGAAATGGCTGAAAATATTGTTGAGCCATAAATGTAAACTTAAAAAAAAAATTACATTGCATGCTTAGCAACTTCAACAGGCCTATAAATTCCCATGACATCCTCTCAAATGGTAAAAAGGTAAATAAAAAGCTTGCATTGTATCAATTATTCCTCCAGATGATATTTCTGATAAAGTAATGAGAGGTGAAATCTTGAGGTAATGAGAATAATGGTGGTTGTCAGAGGCAGCTAATAGCTTTTAAGCATTCATTCTGTCAGGCCTAATTATTTCACATGTACTTGCATTATTTAATACTCAAATCTAATCAAGATATAATTAACATATAACATTATATTAGTTTCAAGTATACATCATAATGAGTCCATATTTGTCTATATTATGAAATGACCACGGTAAATCTAGTTAACATCCATCCCCAAATTAGTTACAAAACTTACTTTTCTTTTTTTTTTTTTTTTTTTTTTAATAAGTTTTTATTGTTCATATTATTACAACTGTTCCTTCCCCCCCACCATTGCTCTCCTCCACCAGATTCCCACCCCACCCTCTGCCCTTTCCCCACTCCCCATTGTAGTCATCCATAGGTGCACAGTTTATGTTCAGTCTCTTCCCACACCCCCTCTCCCCTTTTCCCCAAGAATCGTCAGTTCACTCCCCTTCCATACCTCTGATTCTATTATATTCAACAGTTACTATTGTTCATCAGATTTTTTTTTTTAATTTCCTTGGTTTTTAGATTCACTTGTTGATAGTTACGTATTTGTTGTTCATAATTTTTATCTTTGTTTACTTTCTCTTCTGAAAGAACTCCCTTCAGCAACTCATATAAGTCTGGTTTGGTGTTGATGAACTCCTTTAGCTTTTTTTTATTAGTGAAGCTCTTTATCTGACCTTCGATTCTGAGTGATAGCTTTGCTGGATAGATTATCTTTGGCTGTAGGTTCTTACTATTCATCACCTTGAATATTTCTTGCCATTCCCGTCTGGCCTGCATGGTTTCTGTTGAGAAGTCAGCTGACAATCGTATAGGTGCTCCTTTATAGGTAACTACCTTCTTTGCTCTTGCTTCTTTTAATATTCTCTCTTTGTCTTTTGCTCTTGGAATTTTAATTATGATTTGTCTTGGTGTGGTCCTCTTTGGATTCCTTTTGTTTGGAGTTCTGTGCGCTTCCTGTACTTGTAAGTCTAATTCTTTCCCCAGGTGGGGGAAGTTTTCTGTCACTATTTCTTTCAGTATGTTTTCGATATCTTGCTCTCTCTCATCTTCTGGGACCCCCATAATTCTGATGTTGGTTCGCTTGAAGTTGTCCCAGAGGTTTCTTACATTATCTTCAATTTTCTGGATTCTCTTGCCTTCTAGCTTCTGTGGAGGAGTGTCTTCTGGCTCTTTATGTTCCAAATCTTTGACTTGATTCTTGCGATCTTCCCTTCTGTTTTTAGGACTCTGTAAAATATTTTTTATTTCAGACAATGTATTCTTTATTTCTTGTTGTTCCCTTATCATTTCTTGATGACTCCTTATTAATTCTAGTTGATTTCTTTTCATGTCCTCATAGGTCTTATCCATCTTTTCTAGGAAATTCTTGAAAAACCTTATAAGTGTAGATTTGAACTCTATATCCAGACGCTTTTTGTCCTCCATTTCTTTCGTTTGTGATCTATTTGGTTTAGGCATTTTCACAGGCAGCTTTCCTGATGGGGCGGGGTTTCAGGGTGGAGCCTACAGCTTTGGCTTCCGTCAGCCCCGCCCTATGCGACTCCTGAGACTCAGGGTCCTTCAGTACTAGTTGCAAGCGCCTCTGAGAGAAAGGCGCCTTCGATTTTCGCCTGCTGCCAAACAGTCAATGCTCTCCCCCAATGAGCCCGGTATTGGGGTTCAGTTCAGTTGGAAGTGGAGTTGGAGGTGGCGTTCAGAGCAGACTGGAACCCCTGTCTCCTTCCCGCCAGGCAATCCCGCGGCACAGCCTGCCGTCCCTTCTCTGCGCGCACTGGGCGCCACCGCCGGGACCTCCTTTCGCAGCTTCCCCGGGTTCCGCCTCGCAGCCCAGCTCCCTCTGGCTGAGCCTGAGTCCCCGGGGTCTGGCCTAGGCCTGGGGTTCAGAGCAGTCGGGGGCCCAGCACAGTCGGAGTTTTATCTCCTTCCCGCCAGGGAACGCCCGCCAGGCACTCCGCCGCCCTCCTCTCCTGCTCCGTCCTCTCCGCGCGCCGCGTGTCTCCGTACCTTGGGCTTTTCCAGCTCCTCTGCGCTTCCTTCTGGTTTTCTCCTTGCTTCTCGTTGTAGAATTTCCAGTCAGTCAACTTTCCTGTAGTTCTGGGTGATGTCCATTTTATATTTTTGTTGTATTTTATTGAAATTGTTGTGTGAGGCTGCAGCTAGGTATTCACCTGGGCGCAGCCATCTTGGAGGACCTAAGCTTTTTCCAAAACTTACTTTTCTTATGATGTTAATTTTGAAAATCTATATTATTAGCAACTTTCAAATATACAATACAGTATTATTAACTAGTGGAGACCCAGTGCATGAAATTTGTGCACTCAGGGTGAGGTGGGTCCCCTCAGCCTGGACTGCACCCTCTTGCAGTCCAGGAGCCCTCAGGGGATGTCCAGAAGCCGGCAGTCAATCATCCTTAGTGCTGCCCTGGAGGTGGGGGAGGCTCCCGCCACTGCCCTTCATTTGCCAGCCGTCAGCCCGGCTTCTGGCTGAGCGGCGCTCCCCCACGGGAGCACAGGGGGCAGCTCATGCATTGAGCATCTGTCCCCTGGTGGTCAGTGTGCATCATGGTGACCGGTCATTTCGCCTTTCATTCAATTTGCATATTAGCCTTTTATTATATAGGATAGTCACCATGTAATGTAGTAATACCTTACATACCCCATGACTTATTTATCTTATAACTGAAAGTTTGTACATTTTTACTTACTTTCATTCATTTTGCCCAAATGCCCAATACCCCAACCCTCACCTCTGACAACCACCAATATGTTCAGTGTATATATGAGCTTGGTGTTTTGTTTTGTTTTGTTTTCAAGTTCCATTAACTGAGACCTCATGTAAATGAGATCATTTGGTATTTGTTTTTCTCTGACTTATTTCACTTAGCATGATGCCCTCAAGGTCCATCCGGGTAAACACAAATGGCAAGATTTTCATTCTTTTTTATAGTTAAATAATATTCCATTAGGATAGTTTCCAAATAAAGCTAAATAAATGGAAATGCATACCACCTAATGGACTGGAAGATTCAACATTGTTAAGCTGACAATTGGCTCTAAATGGATCTATAGATTCAAAGAAGTCTCAATGAAAATTCCAGCAAGTTTTTATAGAAATTGACAAACTAATTCTAACATGTGCTTAGAGATGCATAGGACCTAAAATAACTAAAATTATTTTTTAAAAGAACAAAGTTGGCCCTGGCCAGTGTGGCTCAGTTGGTTGGAGCATCATCCCATACACCAGTGGTCGGCAAACTGCGGCTCGTGAGCCACATGCTGCTCTTTGGCCCCTTGAGTGTGGCTCTTCCACAAAATGCCACAGCCTGGGGGAGTCTATTTTGAAGAAGTGGCATTAGAAGAAGTTTAAGTTTAAAAAATTTGGCTCTCAAAAGAAATTTCAATCGTTGTACTGTTGATATTTGACTTTGTTGACTAATGAGTTTGCCGACCACTGCCATACACCAAAAGGTGGCAGGTTCAATTTCCAGTCAGGGAACACTCAGGTTGCAGGTTTGATCCCTGGTTGGGGTACATGCGGAAGGCAACTAACTAATCAGTGTTTCTCTCTCGCATCAATGTTTCTTTCTCTCCCTCTCCCTCTCCCTCTCCCTGTTCCTCCCCCCCCCTCTCTCTCTCCCTCCCTCTCTCCCTCCCTCTCTCTCTCTCCCTCTCTCTCTCCCTCTCTCTCTCCCTCTCTCTCTCCCTCTCTCTCTCCCTCTCTTTCTCTCTGTGTGTGTGTGTGTGTGTGTGTGTGTGTGTGTGTGTGTGTCTCTCTGTCTCTTCCTCTCTAAAATCAATAAAAAGCATATCTTCAGGTAAGGAAATAAATAAGTTTTTCAAAAAAGACTAAAGTTGAAGAACTTACCTTATTTGATTTCAAGACTTGCTATATACTACAGTACTATATAATTAATTAAAGTAGCCAAAATAATTTGGTATTGGTAAAAAGATAAAAATGTAGATCAGGCCGAAACTGCTTTGGCTCAGTGGATACAGCATTGGTCTGCGGACTGAAAGGTCCCGGGTTCGATTCCGGTCAAGCGCATGTACCTTGGTTGCAGGCACATCCCCAGGAGACAGCTGATCGATGATTCTCTCTCTTCGATGTTTCTAACTCTCTATCCCTCTCTCTTCCTCTCTGTAAAAAAAAATCAATTTTTTATATATATTTATTTTTAAATGTAGATAAGCCAGTGTGGGTGAGTTGGTTGAGCATCGCCACCAGTTCAATCCCCAATCGGGCACATGCCCAGGTTGCAGGTTCAGTCCCCAATTGGGGTACATATGGGAGGCAACTGATTAATGTTTCTCTCTCACATCTCTCTGTCTCTCTCCCTTCCTCTCTCTCTAAAAAAATCAAATATATATATATATATATATATATATATATATATATATATGTTTTTTTTTTGTTTTTTTTTTAAAGAATGAAGATCAATAGAACAGAAAAAAGGGTCCATCACATATATATGGGTAATTGACTTTGAACAAAGGTTCCATTGCAATTCAATGTGGAGAAAAAGTCTTTTCAGCAAGTAGTGCTGGATATGTGTATAAAATAAAAAAGATTTATATTGACTTTTATTTTACCCCATCTATATAAATTTACTCAAAGTGGATTTTATGCTTAAATATAATATCTAAATATATAAAATTAGAAATAAAAACAGAAGATAATCTTTATGACCTTGACATAGGCAGAAGTTTCTTAGAGTATAAAAAGACACAAACCATTAAAAATATTCATAATTTGCGTTTCATCAAAATTTTAAAAAGCTGTTTTTCAAGCAACACTATTAATAAAACAAAAAGACAAGGCACAGCCTGGGAGTAAATGTTCACAGCATACACATATCAGACCAATGGCTTTATCCAGAATTTATATACACATTCTTACAACTCTTAAAGAAGGCAAACAACCCAATAAAGGGCAAAAGTTCTGAACAGACACTTTACACAAAAAATACATGTATGACCACATAATAAAATGCTAACATCATTAGTCATCAGTGATATGAAAATAAGACATACTACATACTCTTTAAAATGGCTAAACTTTTAAAAACTGACCCCATCAAGAATTGGTAAGAATGTAAAGCAACTAAAACTGTCATACATTGCTGGTAGTAATGGAAAATGGTACAACCACCTTAAACATGAAAATAAAAAATCCTCCAGATCCCACAAACTAGTCTTTCCACTTTTCTTTCTTCAAACACAATTTGAAATATCAAAGTACAAGTGTAATTTTATATCCTTCTTTCTCCCCCCCCCCCCACTTAACAGTACATTAAAAATATCCCTGACTTACATAATACAAATTATTTGTATACCCTGTTATTTCACTGTTGGTATTACTACAGGTTCTAAAAGTCCAGTATCGAGGTAGCTTACATTCACTTTGTAGTGTGGCAGAGGCAACATGGAGGGGAAAACAACTATGAATTCTTTTCTTTAATTGTGAAAATGAAAATTTATTAGAGAAACTAAGTTAATATGCATCTCATGAAAGATAGTACCTTCTGGACAGAGTCCCAATGCTTCATAAGTAATGAGTTCGTTAGTAGAAAAGCAATCATGAAGTTCTATTACATCAATATCACTTGGTCTCAGGCCAGATTTCTCATAGCACTTTCTGGCAGCTTCTTTACTCATATCAAAGCCAACCTAAAACCAAAATCACATATAAATAAAGAAAATGCATCAAAACTGGAACGTTTATATAAGGACTAAAGGCCTGGTGCACAGATTCATGCACCGGCAGGGTCCTTGGGTTGGCCTGTGGGGATAGGGCTGAAACTAGATCTCTGACATCCCCTGAGGGGTCTCGGATTGCAAGAGGGCAGTTCTTGTGTGAAGCACCCAGAATCGGAATCCCTCCTCTCTGGTTCTAGGTGCATCACCCAAGATCCACAGCTGCCAAGTCACCACAGCTCGGCAGCTCCTGCATTGAGTATCTGCCCCCTGGTGGTCAATGCATATGATGGCTACCAGTTATGTCAGCTGTTATGGAATGGTCAGCTGGTGAAAGGGTCAACTGGTCGACCAGTTGCTTAGTCTTTTATAAATATAGATTATATGAGATTAATAAGCATAAACTTAACAGCTGAAAATTGGTCACACATATTGAAATAATTATTGATTCTATTTTTTAAATATATTTTATTAATTTTTTACAGAAAACAAGGGAGGGGGATAAAGAGTTAGAAACATTGATGAGAGAGAAACACCAATCAGCTGCCTCCTGCCCCTTCCCTACTGGGGTTGTGTCTGCAACCAAGGTACATACCCTTGACCAGAATCGAACCTGGGACCCTTCAGTCCGCAGGCCGACACTCCATCCACTGAGCCAAACCAATTAGGGCTGATTCTATATTTTACAGAGAGTTCAAATAAAAGTATATTCAGGAGGGAAAATACACATATTAAGTCTGGTACTATAAAAGACGAAATTTAAAACCAAATAGATAAAATCAAATATATAAAAGGACTTATAATTCTATAGGATATATGTTAAGTTAGAAAACTATTCATTCACAATGTATAGTTGTGGTAAACAGGCTGAAGAGATTTTATCAACAGATCATTATGATTCAGATACACTTAAAAATAATGGGAGAATTTTTATCTATATTATAAAAGGCCAGTGGCCATAACGCTGGAACAACCAAATGACAAGTCTCCAGGGGGTGCATGGAGCACCTCTTGGTCCCTCCCCTGTGGCCCACAGGCTTTGATCCCAGCAAGGCCGGCTGCAGGCAGGCGAGGCAGAAAATGAGCAAATGTGGAGGGTGAGTGGGTGGGGCTATGAGCACAGCGCAGCAAGTGGGCAGGACCACACGATTTCATAAGCTGGACCTCTCGTATGAAAATAAACAATCTTCACCAGCTGACATGTCTCTGTGGTTGAGTGTTGACCTATGAACCAGGAATTCACAGTTTGATTCCCAGTCACTAGTGTGAGGCATGCAGGAGAGAGCCAATTAATGATTCTCTCTAATCATTGATGTTTCTCTCTCTCTCTCTCTCTCTCTCTCTCTCTCTCGCTCTCTCGCTCTCCCTCTCCCTTCCTCTCTGAGATCAATAAAAATATATACTTAAAAAAAAGAAAGAAAATAAATAATTTTTTTAAAGGATTCAAAAACATTTTTTCAAAACCAATGCTCTTAATACTTCTTTGATCTCAGATAATAACATGCAAACTGAACTTTTCTCCATAGAATAAAACTATGGCATAGCCCTAGCCAGTATGGCTCAGTGGATAGAGCATCAGCCTGTGAACTGAAAGGTCCCAGGTTCAATTCTGGTCAAGGGCACATGCCCAGGGTTGTCGGCTTGATTCCCAGTGAGGGACTTGTAGGAGGCAGCAGATCCATAATTCTCTTCATTGTGGATTTTTCTATCTCTCTCTCCCTCTTCCTTCCTCTCTGAAACCAATAAAAATATATTATTAAAAAAAACTATAGCATAGTGGCAAATGTACTATAATTAGAAAACCTAAATATAAGTTTCACTTCTACCACACCCTAGCACCTTAGCTTTGTGATCTTGGGCAAGTTATAGGGACATTTTCAAATTCTGAGCATTGTTGTAAAATTTGTAAACTGTAGTTTAGCATTTATGATTGTTTATTGCTACTATTGTAGATTTTATATATATATATATATATATATATATATATATATATATATATATATATATGGCTAATATGCAAAGTGTCCCCTTAGGAGTTCGACCAGGAGACTGGGTGTTTGATCAATTGCTATGATGTATGCTGACCACCAGGGGGCAGCACAGAATGAAGACCCCAACTGGCAGTCAGAAGGCCCTGATTGTCCCTGATCGTCGGCCAGGCTTAGGGACCCTACCTGTGCATGAATTTCATGCACCAGGCCTCTAGTATATAATATAAAAACCTAATATACAAAGTTCCCCCTTGGGAGTTCGACCGAGTGGGAATTCCATTTCTCTCTATGATGTGTGTTGACCACCAGGGGTAGCACAGAACGAAGGAAGGCCCAGGCTAGCAAGAGGAAGCTTATCAATGATTCTATCTCATCATGGATGTTTCTATCTCTCTCTCCCTCTCCCTTCCTCTCTAAAATCTATAAAAATATATTTAAAAATAATTTTTTTGAAGTGTCAATAAAGTTCCCTGAAAAAATCTTTGTTTTCCCCTTCACTTTGTAAACTTGGAGTTCTAAGCATATTTAGCCAATTCAAAATAAAAATAAAAAGCACATCTAGTTAATTAAACGTTATCATAGCCAAAACCAGTTTGGCTCAGTGGATAGAGTGTCGGTCTGCAGACTGAAAGGTCCCAGGTTCGATTCTGGTCAAGGACATGTACATTGGTTGCAAGCACATCCCCAGTAGGGGATGTGCAGGAGGCAGCTGATCGATGTCTCTCTCTCATCGATGTTTCTAGCTCTCTATTCCTCTCTGTAAAAAAATCAATAAAATATATATTTAAAATAAATAAATAAATAAATAAATAAATAAATAAATAAATAAAGTTATTATATATTGTTATGTGACTCTATTCCAGGAAGTATATGTTCTCATCAGTTATTTCCCCCTAACACAGTGGTCGACAAACTCAGTCAACAGAGCCAAATATCAACAGTATAACAATTGAAATTTCTTTTGAGAACCAAATTTTTTAAACGTAAACTTCTTCTAACACAACTTCTTCAAAATAGACTCGCCCAGGCCGTGGTATTTTGTGGAAGAGCCACACTCAAGAGACGCATGTGGCTCACAAGCCGCATGTGGCTCACAAGCCGCAGTTTGCCGACCACAGCCCTAACAGATTCTTAAGGATGGGTTATAATATTAGATTTCCTAAACTGTTTTTCAAGTAAATTAATCCAGAGCCTATAGCAACCTTGAAATCCTTAAACAAAAATCCTTGATATTAGTGAATAAAACAGAACTTTAGATGTACCATTTTAATAACGCTATTTTCTTCAAATGAGCTTGGCAAATCAGTCATCATCTCCTGTGCCAGAATCTCCACAGCTTTGGACTGAAGGCCATACTTCTGTACAAATTCTTCACTTGCCAAAATTGCTGCTGCAGCACCATCGGAAGTGGGACTAAGAGATAAAATTAAGTATTTATACCGGGTCCACCTCAACCCTAAGATCTCAGACTAGGGGTTCTTTCTGGGACAAGAGGTGGCTGAGTGTGCTAGATGGTCACTGGATGGTCCTCTTGTGATATCTACAGTTAAATCTTACATGTGCTTCCCTCCTGAGGGCTGAACCTCTATCAAGAACTTAAATGCTGTCTGTCACTGCTTAGTCTCTGCGAATCTCTCTCAAAAAGTTCTTAATGCAAAGAAGCCTGGACTTGCTCTTGTAGGTACATGTAGCATCTTCTGGTGACTTCTGAGACGTACGCAAGGTCATTCCTATCCCAGTATAGTACAGATTCTGCCGTAGGGCTAACTAGCTCCAACTCTGCTATCTCTCAAACCGCTCAGTCTTAGAATCCTTTCGAAAACTGGAAAAGGATGGAATAGGGGATACCAGAAAGTCCATGCTTTGGTTAAGTCTCTTGAGATCTCCTTAAAATAGATCCTTCCTTTAGAGTGAGCTGTGAAGGAAGGTGACAAATGACTGAGCCTTCTGCAAGTTCGGCTGGACTTCATACATGGGCAGACCCTCGTATTATAACAGACAAAAGCTGGCCCTACTTGTTCACTTGCATCCCAGCCAGTATCTCCAGGGTACAACCAGGTGATACGTTGGCACAGGCAGGGCCTATGCAGTGCTAACTCAGTATTCTAGGAAATAAATATTGTCAAGCAATTTTTAAGATATAACTGTTACTGCCAAAACCGGTTTGGCTCAGTGGATAGAGTGTAGGCCTGCAGACTGAAAGGTCCCAGGTTCGATTCCGGTCAAAGGCATATACCTTGGATGTGGGCACATCCCCAGTAGGGAGTATGCAGGAGGCAGCTGATCGATGTCTCTCTCATCGATGTTTCTAACTCTCTATCCCTCTCCCTTCCTCTCTGTAAAAAAACAATAAAATATATATATTTTTTAAAAAGATATAACTGTGACCATTATTAGAGCTATGATTTTTTTCTTGGTTTATGCTTACTCTTAGCTACTATGTCAGAATAAAATTTCCTACAGTCGAAGCATACAGCAGGGAAAACAAAGGGCAAAATCTTGGGACTTCAGTGGCCTCCTAAGTCATATTTAAATAAATAAATACACTTAAAATAAAGAAGTAGAAGTCATGAAAGAAGAAAGTAAAATATATAATTTTCCAAGAGAGGAGATAGTCTTCTCTAAGCAGGAGAAGGAAGTAAGGGTACTCACTCCAGAGTGAGGACTACATTTGTTACCCTTGTAATTAGCTGGTGATTGATAATAGAGAGGAGTGAAAAGAAGGCCAGACATTATAAGCATGTTCATCAGGGCTGCCTCACCAGGAAGCTGCAACTTCACATTCCCAGGGAACCACCAGTCCATTCCCTGTAGATCATTGGGGGAAGGGACTGGACAAAGGGGGAATGCACAGTCAAGTGGGGTGGGTGACATAGGAGAAAGATTAACACAGCGGTGCTCAGGTAAGCTGCACAGCCATTTCAGAGGGTGTACTGCTTCTTGCATTGCCCTATAGTCCTGACAGTTAGGGAAGGTGCTTGCTATCAATCTTGTCTGGAACAGAGAAAACGACTAGAGGGAATGGAGCCACTGCAAGTATGGAAAATCTAAGAAGGTTAAAATTTGCAGACAAAGGAATTCTATCTCTTGCTCCCCTTGCTTCGCTCCTGCTTCCTTGCACTTCTCCATGTTCCCTCCATCACCATGTGGCCCTAGAAGACACATGGCCCAGAGCCACGCGAACCCCACACTCAGTGAACCGCAGCTGGGAACACAAGCTAAGCTGGCCCGATGCTAAAATGGTCTGTGCAAGTATAGAACAGAGGCTCCGGGCAGTGACTTTAATCCTAGCCCTGCTGAAGACACAGCTGGACGTTTTCCTTAGCGGGACGCAGAGAGATGGGACCTTGGAAATTCAGGGCCCTAATCCCACGCAAATAAATATCCCTCATTCCGAAAACTCCTTTTCTTGTGACATTGCAAGTAGCCCACTTCCACCAACAGGTGGGGACACAGAGAACACCTCACTGACAAAGCATTAGTAGTTCTATAGAAAAAGATACAGAAAAGATATATCCAGATTCAGAGCCTAAGGTTTACCCAAGTGGGGAAGGGAGAAGCAATAACTTCAATAAGTATTAAAATGTTTTTCTTACCAACACTGTAAGACAGTCAGAAAATCAAAAACTTTTCGAGAAGTCATCACTTCATCTAAACTGTATTCCTTTTGGAACTGGGAATACCTAAATGCAAAACAAGTAGTTATAGAATATTAGGGAGAAATTACAATTTTTTTTATTGAAGATGTTCTGGTCTAGAAGTTAAAGAGAGAATAATATGTAAGTTTTCTTTTCACAACCAAAAGATGGGCTTTTATAAACAATTGTTTATAATAAAGTTCACTTTAATAAACAAGGTGTTTGAGTTGAATTTCTAAAAAATCCTAACTTCAAAATGCCATATGCTATACAACAAAAATTTGACTAAATTCTGTCCTGAGTTACCCTCATGGAGCTTCTAAAACCTTTGGAACTTCCTGAGTGATAAAAGTGTCCTCGTTATGCTATTAGGATGATTCTTGTGGGCTTCTTGTTGGAGGGTATAGGGACCCACAGGAGTCTGCTTACCAGAAAGAGAAAGACTAACCTTGTGAACACAGGGTTGGGACTTTTCAGCCAGTTTGACCCAGGGAGAAGAGGGGGGCAGGAGTTTGAGTTGAACCATGTGGCCAATAATTCAATAGAGTAGGCCTGTATTATGAAACAAAACTCTGGGGGGTGAGGGCATGTATGGGAGTGGGGTGTGAGGCGGGGGCAATGGTAAGATATGTATACATGTAATACCTTAATAAAAAAAAAAAAATGAAGCTTAATCGGTTTTGCTCAGTGGATAGAGCATTGGCCTGCAGACTGAAGAGTCCCAGGTTCCATTCCGGTCAAGGTCATGTACCTTGGTTGCAGGCACATAACTTAATAGGGTGTGTGCAGGAGGCAGCTGATTGATGTTTCTCTCTCATCAATGTTTCTAACTCTCTATCCCTCTCCCTTTCTATCTGTAAAAGTCAATAAAAAAAAAAATTTTAAATGAAGAAAAAAAAAGAAAGTTACAGACACAGGTCTGAAGGCTCAAATGGCATGGGTTATCTCTAATATTATACCACTTATTACATATTCTCTCTACCTTTCATTATTCTTATAACTTGTGAAGAAGCCCTTGAGAACAGTTTCTTAGTTCAGCTTTCTTAGAAATATATAACAGGGTATCTCTAATGACTGGTCAGCAAACATAGAATTTTCTTTCTTCACTACAAAGCAAGAAGTTACCACCTGAAATTTCTGAACCAAACCTAGAAATTCTTGGCTGTTTCAAAGAGTTTTATATAGTAAGACTCTGATCCAGAAATAACATTTGCCTATTCAACAAAATTGAGAACTTATAAAATGTAATGGAAGATCCATGCAAATAAGGTACTTAGCAGTCTTATTCATTGCTACATCACTAGCCGATAAAGCAATGGCTTGCACATGGTAGGTACTGAATACATACTATCGAGTGAATAACATTCCCTTAGAACAGTGTTTCCCAAAGTGTGGTACGTGTACCCCCAGGGGTACGGGAAGAGTTTGGGGAGGTGGGGTACGCATTGCATCGGAGTTTGGAGGGGATATGCACTGCACTGTGCTTAGCTGCACCTAATTCTACGTTCTCATGAGTACGAGGGGTACTCAGCATTATGAAAATTATAGAAGGGGTACACATATGTCAAAAGTTTGGGAAACACTGCCTTAGAAGAATGCTGTAATGAGTGGATAAATGAAAGCCTGCTTAGACACTGGGTTAAATGAGAGAAAGACTGGGAAGCTTTGATTCCCTGGGGAAATCAAGAGCTGCTCTTTGGAGCCTCAAAGCCAAGAAACTGCACTGCTGTGAATTACTAGTATGTTGGTACAGTTCCTTACAAGTTTCAGGAAATCCAAAGGATTTTTAATGGTTCTCCAAGTAATACACATGATGTAATTTTACTTTAAATGATTTTTTAGGATATGAATAACCATATTATTTTGCCAGAGTAAGAGTTAATGACAGTAGCAAAATTAAAATACATTATTAAAGTTGCATGTTATATAGCAAGATAACTCAGATTTTCACTATATTTCATATACTTACGGGTTATTAACTGAGTGTTTATGATTTTTCCATCCAATTTTTGCAAAGTGTTCAACTTTAGTTCCTGTAGAGAAATATCTATTAGTGACTTAATGTTTTTCTACTACTTGTGAACACATATTACAATGGATATTCAATGTCCTGCTACATATTTCTACATTTTCCTTTGCACAGATATCAGGGTTGAAGATGTCAATGTATCTCCCTCAATAAGTACTTCTTATTTAATGAGTTGAATCAAATAATAGGCATGCAGGGGGGCAGAAATAGGGTATACAGTTGTTCTTATGGAAAATAATACAATAATTAATAAATAATAATACAAGAATAATCTGTTTCATGTACTCACAACTGCAAACCCATCCTGTATAATATGAAAATAATTCAAACTGGGAATCCAAGATGGCTGCACAGGTAAACACCTAGCCGCAGCCGCACACAACAATTTCAATAAAATACAACTAAAATATAAAATGGACATTACTCAGAACTACAGGAAAGTCGACTGACTGGAAATTCTACAACGAGAAGCCAGGAGAAAGCCAGAAGGAAGAGCGGAGGAGCTGTAAAAGCCTAAGGTACGGAGACACGCGGCGCGCGGAGAGGACGGAGCCGGACAGGAGGGAGGCTGAGTGCCTGGCGGGCGTTCCCTAACGGGAAGGAGATAAAAGCTCCGACTGTGCTGGGCCCCAGTTCCGACTGCTCTGAACCCCAGTTCTAGGCCAGACCCCGGGGACCCAGGCTCACACAGAGGGAGCTGGGCTGTAAGGTGGAACCCCAGGGGAGCGGCGAAAGGAGGTCCTGGCGGCTCGCACATTGTGGTTGTCTGTGCCGCGGGATTGCCTGGCAGGAAGGAGACAGGGGCTCCAGACTGCTCTAAACGCCACCTCCAACTCCACTTCCAACTGAACTGAACCCCAATACCGGGCTCATTGGGGGAGAGCCTAGACTGTTTGGTAGCAGGCAAAAATCGAGGGCACCTTTCTCTCAGAGGCGCTTGCAATGAGTACTGAAGGACCCTGAGACTCAGGAGCCGCATAGAGCAGGGCTGACGGAAGCCAAAGCTGTAGGCTTCACCCTGAAATCCCGCCCCATCAGGGAAGCTGCGAAAATGCCAAGAGGAAATAGATTACAAACGAAAGAAATGGAGGACAAAAAGTGACTGGATATAGAGTTCAAATCTACGCTTATAAGGTTTTTCAAGAATTTCCTAGAAAAGATCGATAAGACTTATGAGGATATGAAAAGGGATCAACTAGAATTAATAAGGAATCAACAAGAAATGATAAGGGATCAACAAGAAATAAAGAATACATTGTCTGAAATAAAAAATATTATACAGAGTCCTAAAAACAGAATGGAAAAAATATTATACAGAGTCCTAAAAACAGAATGGAAGATCGCAAGAATCAAGTCAAAGATTTGGAACATAAAGAGCCAGAAGACACTCCTCTGCAGAAGCAAGAAGGCAAGAGAATCCAGAAAATTGAAGATAATGTAAGAAACCTCTGGGACAACTTCAAGCAAACCAACATCAGAATTATGGGGGTCCCAGAAGATGAGAGAGAGCAAGATATCGAAAACATACTGAAAGAAATAGTGACAGAAAACTTCCCCACCTGGTGAAAGAATTAGACTTACAAGTCCAGGAAGCGCACAGAACTTCAAACAAAAGGAATCCAAAGAGACCACACCAAGACAAATCATAATTAAAATTCCAAGAGCAAAAGACAAAGAGAGAATATTAAAAGCAGCAAGAGCAAAGCAGGTAGTTACCTATAAAGGAGCACCTATACGATTGTCAGTTGATTTCTCAACAGAAACCATGCAGGCCAGACGGGAATGGCAAGAAATATTCAAGGTGATGAATAGTAAGAACCTACAGCCAAAGATAATCTATCCAGCAAAGCTATCACTCAGAATCGAAGGTCAGATAAAGAGCTTCACTAATAATAAAAAAAAAAGCTAAAGGAGTTCATCACCACCAAACCAGAATTATATGAATTGCTGAAGGGGGTTCTTTCGGAAGAGAAAGTAAATAAAGATAAAATTATGAACAACAAATACGTAACTATCAACAAGTGAATCTAAAAACCAAGGAAATTAAAAAAAAAAATCTGATGAACAACATTAACTGTTGAATATAATAGAATCAGAGGTATGGAAGGGGAGTGAACTGACGATTCTTGGGGAAAAGGGGAGAAGGGGATGTGGGAAGAGACTGAACATAAACTGTGCACCTATGGATGAGGACAATGGGGAGTGGGGAAAGGGCTGAGGGTGGGGTGGGAACCTGGTGGAGGAGAGCAATGAAGGGGGGGGGGGGGGAGAGGAACATTTGTAATAATATGAATAAAAATTTATTTAAAAAAAAAAAAAGAAAATAATTCAAACTGGCCTATTCTATTATAACTAAACAACCAACTCTTGATCCCCAAAACAGAGGCCATCACTGACTACCCTGTTTGTTCCCCACTACCCACAAGTATTATATATTACCTTGTTTTATTTTCTTCACAGGACTAGTAATTATCTGAAACTATCTTTTTTTTTTTTTTTTAATGTATTATTCTCTCCCCTACTAGAAATTTAGGCAAAAACCTCAAATCTCATCTATTTGTTTATTGCCTGGGGGTGAATGCATTAATGTACCTAATTCTTTTTTCTTCCTCAATGTCCATGGCGGTCTGATTTTTGCAGTTTCCTACCACAATAGAAACAGAGTATGTTTCCCTATCCCTTGAGTGCAAGTTTGCCATGTAACTTGCTATAGTTAACAACTAAAGTTTCACCAGGACTTGCATGTTGCAGATTACACTCTGGTGCTTCTGCTTCACCATGAAAAGAATATACCAGGCCTGGTCCTCTAGTCTCAGGTGGAGGAGGTAAGACATGAACCAGTCAAATAAGACCAGAACAGAGCTTGTAACCAACCATCTCCAGTCATATGATTAACCCAGATAAGAAGAGCTGGTTCCCAGTTAATCTACATACTTGTAAACTATATAATAAATAATTGTTGTTTAAAATCACTGAGTTTTGGGGTGGTTTATTACAGAGCAAAATCTGATTAACATACTGATATATTCTAGTGCCCAGAACAGTGCCTGAAATATGAGAGCTCAATAATGTTTTAAGTGAATTATTTAATTTAAAAAGAAATGGACAGGGAATAGCCAAAGAGTTAAGAAAAACCAGGAGAATGAGGTGTCACAGAAGCCAAGATAAAAGATTTTTTTTAAAGTGATCAAAGGGCCGAAACCGGTTTGGCTCAGTGGTAGAGCATCGGTCTGCGGACTGAAAGGTCCCGGGTTCGATTCCGGTCAAGGGCATGTACATTGGTTGTGGGCACATCCCTGGTAGGGGCTGTGCAAGAGGCAGCTGGTCAATGTTTCTCTCTCATCGACATTTCTAGCTCTCTATCTCTTTCCCTTCCTCTCTGTAAAAAAAAAAAAAAATCAATAAAATATATTTTAAAAAATAAATAAATAAAAGTGATCAAAGGATTTAATGCTTCTGAGATCTATTCAATCAGGTTTGAAAAGTATTTACTGGATGTGGCAACATGGTGGTCAATGGTAGCCTTGAGAAAGGAGGGAAGCAAGATTGCAATCGGTTTTCTAAATGGTAAGAAATTGGCACACAGGCCTGGAGCAGCGGCTGCCAGGCTGGGAGCGGCCAGGCCAGGGGTAGCAGCCGGGTCGGGTGCGGCCAGGCCCGGAGCAGCGGCTGCCAGGCTGGGAGCGGCCAGGCCCGGGGGAGCAGCCAGGTCGGGTGCGGCCAGGCCCAGAGCAGTGGCTGCCAGGCTGGGAGCGGCCAGGCCCGGGGGAGCAGCCGGGTCGGGTGCGGCCAGGCCCGGAGCAGCGGCTGCCTGGCTGGGAGCGGCCAGGCCCGGGGGAGCAGCCGGGTCGGGTGCGGCCAGGCCCAGAGCAGCGGCTGCCTGGCTGGGAGCAGCCAGGCCCGGGGGAGCAGCCAGGTCGGGTGCGGCCAGGCCCGGAGCAGCGGCTGCCAGGCTGGGAGCGGCCAGGCCCGGGGGAGCAGGCGGGTCGGGTGCGGCCAGGCCCGGAGCAGCGGCTGCCAGGCTGGGAGCGGCCAGGCCCGGAGCAGCAGCAGCCAAGTCCAGAGCAACTAGGTCGGGAGCGGCAGTGACCAGACCCAGAGTAGCTGGTTGTGGAACGAACCAGAGCAACAGAGGCCAGGCCCTGAGCAGCCAGACCCGGAACAGCTCGCTCCTCGCCTGCCCCTGCCCCACGGCTGCCTCTCAGACATGGCTGGAAACTTTCGTGGGAACTTGAGGGTCTGCTGAATCAAGGGATGAAGGCTTAGATCTGGATGTGTTGAGTTAGTATAGGGCTGGGGTGTTGATCTGTGAGTGCCTTGGGTGGGGCCTGGATGAGGCTGGTGGACCTATTGGGAAATGTCTTTTGTGTGAAGTGTATCATTGGGCGTGTGGAGGTATTATTGATATGAGAAAATGCTAAGTAACTGATTTACTATCTGAAAAGGGATTTACTATCGGGGAAAGGGAGGGAAGAAGAGACTGAACATAAACTGTGCACCTATGGATGAGGACAATGGGGGATGGGGAGGGTGCGGAGGGTGGGGTGGGAACCTGGTGGAGGGGGGAAGAAATGAGGAACCTTTGTAATAATATGAACAATAAAGATTGATTAAAAAATAAAATAAAATAAAATAAAATAAAATAAAATAAAATAAAATAAAATAAAATAAAATGGCTCAGAAAAAAAAAAAAAGAAATCAGCACAAAAAAGAAAATTTCTATAGCCAAAGACTAGTGCTTCTTTATCCAATCCTACCATTCCTCCTTGGAGATTATTTTCCTTTTTGATTCCTTATTTTCGCTCTCGAACTTGGCATATTTTTCCTACAAAGAATAGGAATACTGGTCTGGTTGGCATAGTTCAGTGGTTGAGCATCTACCTACAAACCAGGAGTTCATAGTCCAATTCCCACTCGGGACATATGCCCGGTTGCAGGCTCAATCCCCAGTGTGGGGCATGCAGGAGGCAGCTAATCAGTGATTGTCTCTCATAGTCTCTTTCTCTCTCCCTCTCTCTCTCTTTCTATCTATCTCCTTCTCTAAAATCAATTAAAAATAAAATTGAAAAAGAATAGGAGTGCTGGACTTTCAAGCATGAAAATTTTCCTTCTCTTACAATACACAACAAGGCACTGGTTCAGTCATACAGTGAAAAATAAAAATCCTATCTGTATTATTCCATGCTTTAACTGGCTAAGTTATGCCAATTATTCACCATCAGTCAAAAAATTAATATGTTTACCTACAAAAGAAAAATCATCCCTAACTAGTTTGGCCCAGTGGATAGAGCCTCGGCCTGCGGACTGAAGGGTCCCAGGTTCGATTCCAGTCAAAAGGCATGTACCTTGGTTGCAGGCACATCCCCAGTACCGGGCATGCAGGAGGCAGCTGATTGATGTTTCTCTCTTAATGATGTTTCTAACTCTCTATCTCTCTCCCTTCCTCTCTGTAAAAAATCAATAAAACATATTAAAAAGAGAAAAAAAGAAAAATCAATTATGAAAGTTAACTCTCATAAAATACTATGGAATGACAGATGATAATATACTAAGTATTAATTTGACAGCCCTGGCTGGTTTGGCTCAGTGGATAGAGTGTCAACCTGTGGACTGAATGGTCCCAGGTTCGATTCCAGTCAAGGGCATGAATCTTGGTTGCAGGCACATCCCCAGAGGGGATGTGCAGGAGGCAGCTGATCATTGTTTCTCTCTCATCGATATTTCTAACTCTCTATCCCTCTCCCTTCCTCTCTGTAAAAAAATCAATAAAATATATTTTATTAAATAAATAAATAAAAATTGACAATAAAAACCTGTTACTATGAATAAAATGTGTACTAGAAACAAAATTTCACTATATAAACCTATTACCAAGAGCAAGCTTTGTGTCTCATTATTATTTTTAAACTAATTTACAGTCCACAAAACAGATAAGATTTAAATTAGTTTTCCTATTTCAATTTCTGATTTCAATTTCTAGGTACTTCCACTATGATGTCCTATATATAAATATGTTCTCTACAACTAAGTTCTATACAGACTATTTTTTCAACTTAATGCAAAAACAATTTTATATGTTGTATATCCTGCTGTTTCTCATCACATCTATACAACATGTATACAACATGTATACACCATGAACTAACCAACAAGCTGTAAAGTTTTTTTTAACATACCATATTTTTCCATGTGCTCTTTTCCAGCACCCCCAAACATCTGAGGAGCAAATGGTGCAGCAGACAATTCATACTTATTTACCAGGACCTCCACATGTTTATCAATTGGATTAGTCCTGTTTGGAGACTAAGAGAGGAAAAACAAAATTTAATAAGCACTTGACATGATAATTTCTCTTACAACTATTACAGTGTTTCTAAGACATTTGCTTATTCTAAGTGCAATGTAAACAAAAAATGGACAATGTGAATAATATCAGTCAGGAAATACTTTGAATAAAAACATGGCATGGAAAGTAATCAATGACCAAAGAGGTATAATTCTTTCAAGAAACATTTATAAAGAATCTCAGCTTAGTTGGTATGGCTCAGTGGTTGAGCACTGACCAATGGAGGCCACGGGTTTGATTCCCGGTCATGGGAAAAAATCAATGGGTTGCGGCTCAATCTGCAATATAAGATGTGCAGGAGGCAACCAATCAATTACTCTCTTTCATCACTGATGTTTCTCTTTCTCTCTCTCTCTCTCTCTCTCTCTCTCTCTCTCTCTCTCTCTTTCTCTCTCTCCCCCCCCCCACCTTCCTCTCTAAAATCAATAAAAAAAATTTTTTTAAAAAGAACCCCAAATGAGCCACTCAAGGTGAAAAAAAACATAAAGTCCCTGCTCATCTGGCATTTACATTTGAGAGGGAGAGGGGTTGAAAGGTGATGAGAACAAAAGTAAATAATCCTATATAATAAAGATGTAATATGCAAATGGTTGTTACTCCATGAAGCCTAACAACCGACCACATAATGACCAGATCATAGATCAGCAGGAGGGTGGGGCAGGGAGCTACAAACCAGCAGCAGCAAGCTACAGGAGGAGGCAGGGCAGCAAGCTATGAGGGAGACGTGGAAGGGGGCAGAGGGAGCTACAGGAGGTTGGGACAGCAGGCAGACAACTACTGGAGGGCTGCAGCAAGCTACTGGTGAGCTACTGGCGCACGGATTCGTGCACAGGACTACTAGTCTACATATATATATATATATATATATATATATATATATATATATATATATACATACAAAACCCTAATATGCAAATAGACCAAACGGCAGAACAACCGAACAACCGGTCACTATGACATGTGCTGACCAATAGGGGGCACGCACAGAACATGGCTGGTGTCAGCAGCAGGCAGCAGAGTGTGGAACATGGTGGGCATTGGCTACAGTGGGATGGTGGAAAAGGTGAGCAGGGCAGCCAGACACAGCCACGGCACCGGTCACTGTCATTGGGGTGAGCATCTGGTGGTTACTGAAAATTCTTTGCACCTGCATGCCGTGGTCCACCCGGCATCCACTGGCGGCGCCAGAGCCGCCTCTCACACCAACTGCTAGCAGCCAGCCCCAATTGCCTCTCAGGGCTTCTCCACCTCCTCCTGCTCCTGGGGGGCAATCAAGGCTGACAGCTGCCTCTCGCACCCGCTGCCACTGAAGGCCCTGCATGCAACCACTGCCGGTGCCAGCCCCGCTCACAACCGCAACCAGTGCTGGATCTGCTGCTTGTACTTGCTGCCAGCACCCAGAGCCGATCCCAATCACCCCTGAGGGTTTCTGCATCTCTCCCTGCTCCTGAGAGGTGATCGGGGCATCAGCCACCACTCACACCTGCTGTTGGTGCTGGGCCCATTTGCACCTGCTGCTGGCACCAACCCCAATTGCTCTGTGCCATCAGCATGTAGAAGCAGTGGCAATGGAAGCAGGGCTGCCAGCAGACAGGGAATCGGGGACATGGAGGAGAGGCTCAGACCCACCCTATGCCCACTGCAGCCTCGCGGCCAATAGTTCTTTTTGTGCACTGAGCCCCTAGTTATGTAAATAATAATGCTATAAATAATAAATCTAAGACTCACTAAGACAGGTAAGGGCTCAAATAAAATAAAAACTGAAAAAGAATTTACAACTAATACAACAGAAATACAAAAGATCATAAGAGACTATATGTCAAGCCAGCATGACTCAGTGGCTGAGCATCACGGTTTGATTCCCACTCAGGGCACATGCCTGGGTTGTAGGCTTGATCTTCAATGTGGGATGTGCAGGAGGCAGCCAATCAATGATTCTCATCATTCATGTTTCTGACTTCCTCTCTCTCTCTCCCTTACTCTCTAAAATCAATAAAAATCTATTTTAAAAAATAGTAATTTTTAAAAAAACATATCTTTTGAAATTTTAATTATTTCACTTTCCAATAAATTCTATTATTTTTCTTTTTAGGCCAATAGTGTCTCTTTTTGAAATTTCCTATACCCTTAAGATATTTCCAAGCCTGTCTTTTATTTTTTTAAGTATAGTAAGAATGCCTAAATCTGAGTCCAATAAATCCAGTTTACAAAGTCTTCAAACATCATTGTTTATTGTGCTTCATTTTCCTGGTTCTTACTGTGCCTCGCTCTCCTGGTTCTCACTGTGCCTCATTCTCCTGGTTCTCAAGTATGGCGCCTTGTTTTTCTAATGCTTGGCTTTCTTTGACTTCACATCCTTGAAAATTTACATGAAGAGTTCTCTACACAGCAGCGGGTCTCAACCTGTGGGTCGCAACCGCTAGCAGCGTTGCCTAAGACCATCGGAAAACACAGATATTTACATTACAATTCATAACAGTAGCAAAATTACAGTTATGAAGTAGCAATAAAAATAATGTTATGGTTGGAGGTCACCACAACATGAGGAGCTGTATTAAAGGGTCGCAGCATTAAAAAGGTTGAGAACCACTGCTTTAAAGCAAAAGCACCTTCGAATGCTGATCTTTATTGACCTGCAGTTCCTCTCTATTGTTAGCTCTTTCATGCTGTAGAATATTTTTTTTATGTTTTATTCAAATATTGTAGTTTATATTTTATTCCAATATTCAATAGGATAAGTGATTCAAATAACTTGGCTTACCAGAAACAGAGAAGTCCCACATATTATTATCTTCAATTAGTTGAATAAATAAATAACTTTCAATTTAATTAGATAAGTCCATCTCAAATTTAATAATCTGACCTCTCTGAACATCAATTTCATCATTCACAAAATAAAGAGGTTGAACTAAATTATCTCGATCACACTTTACTGTTCTAAAATACCAGGATATATGTGTACATATACAATGCTACCTTTTAGCTTTTGGGTTATATCCACTCATTTAACAACTATGCCAAATTATGTTTTACTAGAGGCCCAGTGCACAAAACTCATGCACTCGGAGGGGGGTGGTGAGTGGGCCCCCTCAGCCCAGATTGCCAGAGGGCACAGGCCAGGCCGAGAGACCCCACCAGTACACGATTGTGGCTGGGGAGGGACATGGGAGGTTGGCCAGCTAAGGAGGGACCATGGGAGGGCACCAGAGCATGTCTGACCCATCTCGCTCAGTCCTGATCTGCCAGATCCCAGCAGCAAGCTAATCTACCAGTTGGAGCGTGTGTCCCCTGGTGGTCAGTGCACATCACGGCAAGCGGCTGAGTAGCCTTAGTATGTCATTAACAAATTACACTTTGATTGGTTGAAGTGACAACCTTATGACTGGACACTTACCATATAGGCTTTTAATATAGGATGTTGCTTATTTACAGGAACTATTTATGGCAGTATGATGGGCAAAGCTTTTCTTATAGTGTCATAACAACTCCAAAATAATAGTAAATGAGACCTACCCCTACTGAAAGAGACCCCTTCTCCATCTTCTCAAAGCCAAGAGCCAAGACACAATCTGCCACACCTGGAAAGAAAATTATTTTGAAATTTTTAATTTCTAGACTTTCAACAAAATACATTAAATACGTCAATTTTTAAAAATATGTTAACTTATATAAAATTTAAAAATATACTATAATCCTATAATTTTTTAATAAATGAAAAATTAGGGGAAATTCTTAAATGCTACTAGGTAAGAGGGAAAAAAATCAAGAAAGTGTTTCATTGTTTCTTTGATCTTCAATGTTAATAAGACTTGATTAATGTGAAATATGTTTCTGTGAACAATGAATATGAATAAGTAATTTTTAATGTTAAACCATTACATTAATACATTTATTTTAAAAGGAATCCTGATCAAAATATCAACAGAATAATTTTTGGAGATTAGGGCACTTTAAAAAAAATGATGTTAAAGTTCAACAGAACAGCAAAACAAGACAGAATTGACAAAAGTTGTCTTTAAAAAAGAAAGAAAAATAACAAGGCAGAGGGGCCAGGGGATACTAGCATTGCAAACAGTATGGCATTGTAAAGCTCCAAAAACTAAAATACTGAGTATGGAGCAATAGTCAACAATCAGTCAGAACAGAATAAAGGATCTATTATAATAAAAGATCCTAAAATATATGGAAATATAAAATATGATATATACCCAAGAGAACTGAAAGTCACACAAAAAAAGTATACACAAATGTTTATAATAGCATTATTCATAATAGCCAAAAAGTGAAAACAGCTGATAAAATGGATAAACAAATTGTGGAACATCATACAATGGTATCTAACTTGGACAAAAAATGGAATGAAGTACAAGTAACATTCCAAAGCATGGATGAATTATGAAAACATAATGCTAAGTGAAAGCCACAAAGGCCATATATCGCCGAAACCGGTTTGGCTCAATGGATAGAGCATCGGCTTGGGGATTGAAGGGTCCCGGGTTTGATTCCGGTCAAGGGCATGGACCTGGGTTGCGGGCATATCCCCAGTAGGGGGTGTGCAAGAGGCAGCTGATCGATGACTCTCTCTCATCGATGTTTCTAGCTTTCTCTCTCTCCCTTCCTCTCTGTACAAAATCAATAAAATATATATTTTTTTTAAAAAGGCCATATATATTGCCGGGACCGGTTTGGCTCAGTGGATACAGCGTCGGCTTGGGGACTAAAGGGTCCCGGGTTCAATTCCGGTCAAGGGCATGTACCTTGGTTGCGGGCATATCCCCAGTAGGGGGTGTGCAAGAGGCAGCTGATCGATGACTCTCTCTCATTGATGTTTCTAACTCTGTATCTCTCTCCCTTCCTCTCTGTATAAAATCAATAAAATATATTTTTTTAAATAAATAAATAAATAAATAAAAAAGGCCATATATCATATGAATCCATTTATATAATGTTCAGACTAGGTAAATCCACAGAGACAGAAAGTAGATTAGTGGTAGGAAGGAGCTGGGGGGAGAGGGAACTGGGGAGTGACTGCTAATGGGTACAGGGTTTCTTTTTGGTGGGATGAAAATGTTATAAAATTAGATAGTGGGGATAGTTGCATAAATCTGTGAATATATTCAAAAGCACTGAATTGTATACTTTAACAGGGTGAAATCACATATCCCTTTATAATGTGTAATAAAGCCATCACTCAGGTGACCGAATGAAGACATGATGCAAGGGGATCAATAAACTCACATCTATTTCAGTGCACCAAACTAACCAGCACTACTCACCACCCTGAATCAGCTGCCGGGCCATAAACAAAGCAGTAGAGCCAGTAGAACAGTTATTGTTAACATTGATTATAGGAATTCCAGTCAGCCCCAAACTGTGATAGATAGCCCTCTGCCCAGAGGTAGAGTCGCCTGTATAGAAAAAGAAATTACAATTTTAATATATGCAGCATGAGAATTGTGGAGTTGTAACACAATATAATACCACATTATTATTTTTCCATATTATTTCTTTGCCTACTATAGTACATGGACAGAACAATAAATACACTATTAACAGCTTACTCAGAAACAGTTTTAACATTAAGCGCCATCTACTCTGCAAATATAAACAATTATCAAAATATAGAATGTAGGAAAAAAAACACAGAATGTATGTGCATTTCCTTTACACAATACAATGATAGGAAAGTAGAGAAATAACCAAGTAATAGCCAAGCAATTGCATGAGGGTTGCAATTTCCTGCTCTTATCTGTTATCTTATTCGTAGTTTTGTATCCTTTTGTCTGTTTCACATAGATAACCTCTTTCAGTATTCCCTCAGCTTCTGTATGTCTGGAATAGTCTTTATTTCTCCTTCATATCCAAAGGATAACTCTGCTGATCATTTCTCTCTTCCAATAGTTTGAACATTTGGTTCCATTCTCTTCTAGCTTATAGGATTTCTGCAGAAAAATCTGACGGTATTCTAATAAGATTTCTTTTCATGATTACTGTCTGCTTTTCCTTGGTAGCCTTGATAATTCTTTCTTTATCATTAAGTTTTGACAATCTATATATATATAAAAAACCAGTGACCGGAACACCGTAATGACCTGAATGACCAGTCGCTATGACACCCACTGCAGCCAATGAACTGGCTGATCAGGGGGTGGGGCCAGTTGGCCAATCTCCCTCGGCCCCTCCCCCCAGCCAGCCCTGCCCTTGATTTCACACACACACACACACACACACACACACACACTAATTGGGGCTGGGGCTGGCTGGCCAACCATCTATAGCCCCTCCCCACAGTCCCCCCATCCCAATCAGGGCCCCTATCTCCCAACCAGCCTGGCCCTGATTGGCAGGCCAGTCAGCCAACCTCCCACTGTCTCCTCCTTCCAACAGGCCTGGCCCTGATCCATCCTAATCAGGGCCGGGCTGGCCGGACCCCATCCATGCACAAATTCATGCACTGGGCCTCTAGTTTTAATATAATGTGCCTTGGATAAGGCCTTTTTTGGATTGAAATAATTAGGTGTTCTCTTTGGTTTTTGGATTTAAGGATCCAACTCTTCCATAAGTATGAGAAATTCTCAACTATCTGAATAGACTCTGTTCCCTTTTTCCTCTTTTCTTCTAGTATATAAGTTATTATTATTTTTTAATGTTTTTTATTGATATTTTGGAGAGAGAGAAAGGGAATAGGGAGAAAGAGAAACATTGATGAGAGAGAAATTTCCAATAGTTTCCCCTGCATGCCCCCTACTGGGGATCAAGAGGCAACCCAGCCATGTTCCTTAACCGGGAATCAAACCAGCAACCTGTGAGTTCAAGGATCAATGTTTGACTGAAGAGCCACACCAACTGAGCTACACATTATTGCTCTTCATGATGAAGTCAGATAGTTCTAAGAGAGTTCTTTCATTTATTTTTACTCGCAAGTTTCTATCTTCTTTGATCTGAATCATTTCTAGATTTCTATCTTCAATACCATTAATTTTTTCTTTCATCCGGTCAACTCTCTTTCCTAAGCTCACTAGTTCATTTTTCATATCTTTGGTTGAGCAGCAACCAAGCCCAGAGCAGCCAGGTCGGGAGCGGCCAGGCCCGGAGTGGCCGGGCCCAGAGCAACCAGGTCGGGAGCATCCAGGCCCGGAGCAGCAACAGCCAGGCCCTAAGCGGCCGGGCCCGGAGCAGCCAGGCCGGGAGCAGCCAGGCCTGGAGCGGCCAGGCCCGGAGCAGCCGTGCCCAGAGCAGCCGGGTCGGGAGCAGCCAGGCCTGGAGCAGCAGCTGCCAGGTCGGGAGCAGCAGTGCCCAGACCCGGAGCAGCTGGTTGTGGAGCGGGCCAGAGCAACAGAGGCCAGGCCTAGAGCATCCAGGCCCGGAACAGCTCGCTCCTTGCCTGCCCCCGCCCCAGGGCTGCCTCTCAGACATGGCTGGAAACTTTTGGGGGAACTTGAGGGTCTGCTGAATCAAATGATGAAGGCTTAGATCTGGATGTGTTGAGTTAGTATGGCGCTGGGGTGTTGATCTGTGAGTGCCTTGTGTGGGGTCTGGATGAGGTTGGTTGATCTATTTGGAAATGTCTTTTGAAGTGTATCAAAAGTGTATCCTTGGGCATGTGGAGGTATTATTGATTTGAGAAAATGCTAAGTAACTGATTTACTATCTGAAAAACTTAAAGTTCTGAAAGTTTAAGGTCTCTTGCCAAAAAGATGTTTTAAAGCTAACACCTTAATTTTAATGGAGAAAGGGGAGGACAAGCCCATCCCACCCAGAACAGGTAATCCAGTTCTAGCCAGCAGCTATCTTTAAACAATGTGTTCATTTACACTTGAATGGCTACACCTTTTGATAGCCTAAGGGCATGTAAACAAGTTTGCTTCTCAATTCCCAGGGCAGAAAAAAACTAGGTTTAAAATTATTAGGTTTTAAAATTTATTCTTAAAAGTGTAAAAGTTTATTAATTAAAAAAAAAAGCAACAACAAAAAAAGGAGATTGAAAAACCTGATGAACAATATTAGCTGTTGATTGTAGTAGAGTCGGCGATACGGGAAGTGAGTGGACTGACAGTTATCAGGGAAAGGGGGAGTGGTGGATGCGGGAAGAGACTGAACTTAAACTGTGCACCTATGGATGAGGACAATGGGGGGTGGGGAGGGGGCGGAGGGTGGGGTGGGAACCTGGTGGAGGGGGGAAGAAATGAGGAACCTTTGTAATAATATGAACAATAATTTAAAAAATAAATAAATAAAAATAAAAAAATAAAAAAAATAAAAACAAAACAAAAAATAGTAACAATTTCTACTAGGCAGGCTAAGATGCTTTTCTTTTGTTTTCCAGTAGGTGGCGCTGGAGCACAGGTTTTTACTTTCTCTTGCACTGCTCTGGCTTCTCTGGCTTCTCAGATCTCTGTGGGCTGGTGGAAAATGCCCTATATTCATTCCCTTGAGAGGTGGGCATCTTCTCTGTAACCAGATTACCTCAGTTTCAGAACACCACCTCTGTGGGAAATTGTAATGTCTAATGGGGTTCCATGAAATCCCAATACTCCCCCCTGAAACCAGATGCTGCCAGTACTGCCCAGCTCTCCCAGGTACCCTGGCTGAGCTCAACTGCAACAGGGACAAAGGGGTGGAGTGGCAAAGGCCAGCTTGTGCATCTGTGGTTTTGTTCTCCCTGGCAGCAATGGCGACTGCCAGATCTCAGCTACCATAACTCTATCTCCATCACCACCATCTCCCCATCCCCTCACCCCCACCCCTCCACCACTGGAACCAGCTGCTCAGGAAGGAATGTGTCTGCCTCTCCAGTTCAACACTCACTTCCACAGCTTCTGTGGCCCACTGCTAGCTCTGGAGCGTAAGGGGAGGCAGCCAGGCTCAGTGGCTTTGTTTTCTGCCTGATAATGACATCTGCTAAATCAGCTGCCACACCTCTGTGTTCTGTCCCTGCTCCAATCACTAGGTTCAACCACCGCACATGCTGACCACGCAGGCAGGAATGTTGGTTCTCCTCTCTGCTCTTCAGGGCTGCAGACTGTGCACACTGCAACCTGATTCTTCTTTCCCAGGACCCACACTGAATTTCAGCCTGTATCTCTGGCCCCAACTCTGCTCTTCCCCCTTCTCTCCTTCCCTGCTCACTCTTTGTGGCCCACATTCTGATGTTTCCAGGCATGGCTTTCTCAGATGTGTTTGTGTGTTGAATTATAACTGTTCAAGGGAAGAGACTATAGGGATCTTTCAGGCTGCCATGTTTCTGACCTCATTTCAACAGTTGACTTTTTTTGTGTGCTTTTGTTTCACTTTTTTTTCCCTCTACAATTAGTATACGTCATTTTTTTTAATCTTTTTAAAATATATTTTTATTGATTTCAGAGAGAGGAAGGGAGAGGGAGAGAAAAATTGAAACATCAATGATGAGAATCACTGATCGGCTGCCCCCTGCACGCCCCCTACTGGGGATTGAACCTGCAACCCAGGCATATGCCCTTGACCGGAATCAAACCTGGGACCCTTCAAATCTGCAGGCCAATGCTCTATCCACTGAGCCAAACCAGCTAGGACAGTATATTTTTTAATCAGAAAAGATTTAATGAAAATTTTTTATCAAATAAAAAGATAATAAATGCAAATTTCAAGACAATAAGGAACAAAAATTTATCTTCTGAACAATAATTTTTTTTATATGGTAGAACTATAGATAATTTTTTCATTTTAAAAGATAAATTTCTTTTCATTTATCTATTTTGACAATATAATAATGGCACAAAATATATATTAAATTAAGCTGACACATAAGAGAAATCTAGGAATGATAGGTAAAACTCTGAATTCTGAGTTTTGAAAGTTAAAATTCATAAATGTCCTTGCATTATTTATGTGGTTGCTGCTAGATTTAGGTGAATAATTTTTATAATATGTAGTTTACCACGTACCATAAACGTAGCCAATACATGCCTGTTCCACCGCTGAGTAAGGAATCTGTGCATCAGCTAAAGCCTTCTGACCTATAAAAACAGGAGGGTTTCATCAAACAGTGCTTTAAGTATTTGCTTTAGGTGAGTAAAAATTAAGTTTAGGTTTTTCTCAGAGTAATAAATTTATCTCCATATAGCCTATTTTAAATTCAAATGACAAATCCTTCACCAAATCATTTCAGATTTCTTCTTTCAGAAGTAATCATTTCTTCCTCTAAGTTACAGCATCACTTTTTCACACCTTCTCTTTAAAAAATATTTTTATTGATTTCAGAGAGGAAATAAGAGAGAGAGAGAGAGAGTCATTGAACAGCTGCCTTCTGCACAACCTCCACTGGACTAACGGGAAATCAGACTGGGATTTGAACTGTGACCTTCTGGTTCATAGGTTGGCACTTAACCAGCAAGCCATATTGACTGGGCTCACATCTACTATTTGTTATTTAACATTTTCTGTCCTAACTATATACCTAACTATAAATATATTAAATCCCCTTAATGGCAAGCATATTAAATCTCCTTAATGGCAAGGCACTTGTCTTATTCATATCTGTGGCTCCACTGCACATGTAGTGGGCAAAATTGGCTAGAATGTCAATATGGGGGATAAAGATGGATGGAAACACTCAGGTGCTCATCTTACAACGTCAGGATCAAGAAATGGAGCATTAAGGATGTTATTTAAAGTTACAGAAATGATCAATGGAGAAACTGAAAAAATACATAAAAGTAAACTGGAGAGAGCGGGAAGGCTGGGGAGTGTTGGAGAGGGGGGAAAGAGAGCAACCGAAAGACCTGTATGGATGCATATAAGCACAACCAATGGACACAAGACACTGCGGGGGGCGGGATGAGGGCATGTGACAGGGGGTAAGGGAGGCTGAGGGAACGGGAGGGGGGAGGAGATATATGTACTACTATTTGTAATATTTTAAACAATAAAAAAAAAGTAAAACTGGGGAGGTGAGTGGAGGTTGAAGAGGTGTGAGTTAAATCCTCATCTATCACAGTGAGAAGCAAACATATTGATAAGCAAAAAACTGAATTAAGTGTGATAGAACAGACATTTAGAGATATAGAGATAACCACCAGGACAACTAAAGCCAAAACAGTTAAAAGAAATTGTCTCCTGAGGTGCAAGCCTGGGAATCATAAGCCATTGTGTGTGTGTGTGTGTGTGTGTGTGTGTGTGTGTAACCACATGAATGTATTACTTTAATTTTTCTAGACTAAGAGACACATATGAGGGCATGAGGGGATGGGGCAAGAGGAATAATGGGGGAGTGAGGACACATATGTAACACCATAATCAATAAAAAAAAAAAATTTTTTTAAAGCAAAAAAGAGACACATAATTGGTTATGGGATTGCCTTTGACCAGTTATATTTTTCTGCTTAACATATGAGCAAAAAAATTAATTTTTAGTTATAATACTGCTGGTGAGACTAATAATGTAAACAGTCTGAAAAATAATGTAAAGAGTCTTAAAATGTTCATAATCACTGTTCCAATTAGTCTACTTCCAAGTTCTGTCCTCAATAGTACCTGGAGATGATACAAAAATTTTTTAAATAAATTTATTGATTTCAGAAAGACAGGGAGCAGAAGAGAGATAAAAACATCAATCATAAAAGAGAATTATTGCCGGGACCAGTTTGGCTCAGTGGATAGAGCGTCGGCCTGCAAACTGAAAGGTCCCGGGTTTGATTCCGGTCAAGGGCATGTACCTTGGTTGCGGGCACATCCCCAGTGGGGGGTGTGCAAGAGGCAGCTGGTCGATGTTTCTCTCTCATCGACGTTTCTGACTCTCTGTCCCTCTCAATTCCTCTCTGTGTAAAATCAATAAAATATATTTTTTTTAAAATCATAGCATAAATATATAATGATATATGAAAAAAATTAATGTTTCAAACAATTTTAAGTAACAAGAGAAATACTCATGATAAAATAAGTTTAAAGATTCAGAATATAAAACTATGTAGCATATGATCCCAGTAGGGAGCATGCAGAAGGCAACCGATCAGTGATTCTCATCATTGGTGTTTCTCTCTCTCTTACTCTCCCTTTCTCTCTGAAATCAATAAAAATATGTATTTTTTAAAAAGAATGTTATGGGTTTTTTCCCCAAGGTAAACTAAATGTGATTGTTGTGGTCTGAAGATACATACATCTCACCTAAAACTATTTCAGAATTGTGAGTAGAGTCATATTTATACTTCTCATTTCCCTACAAACTTAGAACCAAGGGGTATTTACTTATTTACTTACTTTTTATTTTTTAATATTTTTTAGAGTGGAAGGGAAGAGGAGAGACAGAGAGAAACATCAATGTGAGAGAAACATCAATTAGTTAGCTTCCCCACATGCCCCAACTGGAGCTGGAGATCAAACCTACAACCCAAGTATGTGCCCTTGACCAGAATCCACGTTCTATCTGCTGAGCCAAACTGGCTAGAGCTATGAACAAAGCTAGGTTTTAAAGTTTATTCTAGCCCTGGCAGGTATGGGTCAGTTGGTTGAGTGTCATCCCATGCATCAAAAGGTCCCTGGTTCAATTCCTGGTCAGGGCACATACCCAGGTTGTGGGTTTGATCCCCAGTCAGGGTGCATACAGTGTAAGAGGCAACCCAATGATGTTTCTCTCTCCTTCTGCTTCTCCATTCCTCGCTCTCTAAAATCAATAAAAACATATGTTTTTTTAAGTTTATTCTACATAAAAGTTCCTTTTCTTTTTCTTATTGATTTTAGAGAGGGAGGAAAAGAGAGAGAGAAAAAAAATATTGAAGTGAGATAAATACATCGATGGGTTGCCTCCGGGGATCAAACCCTCAATCTAGCTATGTGCTCTGACCAGAAATCAAACCCACAACCTTAGAGTGCACGGGAAAATGCTCCAATGAACTGAGCCAAACTGGCCAGGGCAAAGTTCCTTTATTAAATGAAGTTTTCTTTTCCTGATTATGCTTACAAAAGAAGAGAATTTTAAGCACAGTTAGTTAATCCCTACAGTTAGTTTCAAACTCTATAACTTCACCTCAACATTACCATTTTATAATCAAAATGTTATATTCACATATTACTAAAATAACCGCAAAATTTTTAACTAAGTAAAAGAAATGGAACAAAATATATACAAAGAACTGTTTAAAGCATTTCCCACTTCAGAGAAAGACAGAAACTATTTGGAGACATATGTTAAGAAAATAGCTATAGCTGGTATTGCTCAGTGGATAGAGCATTGGCTTGTGTACCAAAAGGTCATGGGTTTGATTCCCAGTCAAAGGTACGTTCTTGGGTTTCAGATTCAATCCCCAGCCCTGGTCAGGGGCACGTACAGAAGGCAACCAATTGACATCTCTCTCACATAGATATTTCTCTCTCCCCTTTGTTTCTCTCCCCCTCCCTCCGTCCTTTCCACTCTCTCTGAAAAATGATGGGAAAAATATCCTTAGGTGAGGATTAAAAAACAAAAGTGAGAGAAAGAGAATATTTAATAACATTATCCTGGCCAGTGCAGTTAGGTTGGTTGGAGCATCGTCTTGTAGACCAAGAGGTGGTGGTTCAATACCTGATCAGGGCACATACCCAGGTTGTGGGTTTCTCTCTCTCCCTTCCTCTCTCTAAAATCAATTTCAAAATTAAAACAAAATAAAGAGAATGTTTAGCAATATAAAAGATAAATATTAATGCCGGGACCAGTTTGGCTCAATGGATAGAGCGTCGGCTTGGGGACTGAAGGGTCCCCGGGTTCAATTCCGGTCAAGGGCATGTACCTTGGTTGCGGGCATATCCCCAGTAGGGGGTGTCCAAGAGGCAGCTGATCGATGACTCTCTCTCATCAATGTTTCTAGCTCTCTAGCTCTCTCCCTTTCTCTCTGTATAAAAATCAATAAAAATATATTTTTTAAAAAGATAAATATTAAATGAACAATGTCCACCCAAAGAATCAACATCAATTAATTAATCTTCATGAACCTTCCTTTTGGGGAGCAGAGATGCTCTGATTTCATATATAGTAATATCTAAACACTGAGTTAAATATAGAGCTGAAACAAAATCCCAATATATGGACTGTAGACACTAGGGGAGTATCTAATTAATAACCGTAGTAATTCTTCTTTTTAATAATATATTTTATTGATTTTTTTACAAAGAGCAAAGGAGAGAGTTAGAAACATCAATCAGCTGCCTCTTGCACACCCCCTACTGGGGATGTGCTCACAACCAAGGTACATGCCCTTGACCAGAATTGAACCTGGGACCCTTCATTCCGCAGGCCGATGCTCTATCCACTGAGCCAAACCAGTTAGGACCGCAGTCATTTTGGGGGGGGTTGCATTGCAACAAGCTAGCAGGATCGATAGTGCAGCCAGCAGCAGCCTAGCCCAAGCATATGCCTCTGAAGACAGCTTAGAGCAGCGGTCGCCAACCTTTCCGACCTCAGAGACCACCAGTGGGAACACTGGTTGGCAGCTGCTGCTCCAAAGGTTTCCTTAAACCAGCAGTTGCCAACCTCTCGGACCTCATGGACCATGGGTTGGCGACTGCTGGCTTGAAGAACACAGACCCACACACTGTGGACCCTTCTCTCTCTGAGTTCCAGCTCACTCACTAGGATGCATCCAAGTTCTTTGCTTAATACTCACCAGAATAAACAACAACAAATTGCATCTCCTCATTTAGTCACACAATAGGCTAGTGATAGAAAAAGAATTCTCTACATTTGCTTGGCTCAGTCAAGCAAAGAGAGGAAAGCCACCATACAGATATTTAATACGTTTTGAATGTGATTATCCCTTTTCTAGAAAAGGAAGATGCTAATTTTGTCACATCTCCTAGAATCAAGTTATCCCTTTTAATGACTCTGCTTCTCTCTCCCACAGAGCCCTTCGCTGTCCCAACCAACAGCTGGGTAGCACGTACATCACTGCCACTATCTGCTCTGGCTACCAGCTAAGAATGCCGAGGTTCGCCGAAACCGGTTTGGCTCAATGGATAGAGCGTCGGCTTGGGGACTGAAGGGTCCCAGGTTCGATTCCGGTCAAGGGCATGTACCTTGATTGCGGGCATATCCCCAGTGGAGGGTGTGCAAGAGGCAGCTGATCGATGACTCTCATTGATGTTTCTAGCTCTCTATCTCTCTCCCTTGCTCTCTGTACAAAATCAATAAAATAAAATAAAATAAATTTAAAAAAATAAAATAAAATAAAGAATGCCGAGGTTCTTCCCCTCCTCCTCCTGAAAGCCACTAGGCAGCTGCTTGTTTAGGCTTTTCTCCCCTGACCAGGCTTTCTTTTATGGTGGCAAGCCTCCTCCACAATCAGGCAGATCACACAACAAGCTATAATGCTCAAAGGTCTAAATGTTCTGTATTACCTGCTTCTTTGGCCAAGTCAGGGTAGTCTCTTGAGTTCTCAAGTCCAGGCTTCATAAACTAGAAATACAGAAGGAGATAACAAACAGAAGCAAGTTTAGATTTCTTCACAACAGAACATCACAGAAATGCATTTATTCAAATAAAAACAGAATGAACACCTAGCATTTCCTTGATTCTGATAATAAATAATATACAGTCCTTACTCTCAAGGAGATTCCAGCCTAATGAAAAATAGGAAATTACACTTCCGTGTCATAAGTACAGAATGATTTGGGAGAGACAACTACCCAGGGTCAGAGGGAGGACTAGAAAGGCTTCCCAGAGGAACTGACATTTATATGAAGTCTTTAAGGGTAACAGCCCCGTGAGAGAAAAGGAAATCCTAGAGAAAGGCCTAGAAGTGAGAGAATGTGGCTCAGTCCAAGCACTGCAAAAAACTTTTATATTGCAGAGGTTGAGCGCAAGATGGGCAGTGCTAGGGATAGAAAAGTAACTTAGGACCAAATGATAACTACTAACATTTCCTGGGAACTTACTGTGTTACGAATTGTGCTAAGCACTTTATATCTATTCACTCACTTGGTCCTCACAATAACACTAAGAGGTAGATTGTAGAGAGTGCCTGGGAAGGCACTTGAGCATTTCTTTAATTTTTGTCAGCTGAATCCAGTGGCATTGGCAGAGCCAAGTCCTGGAAACATGCTTTGCCAGAGGCAGGAGTGTGTCAGCTTGACCTTCAGCCCAGGTGCCAGGGGGTGGGTTTTGTTATTTAAAACCAGCCAACCACCAGGAACTAAGACTACTCAGGCCCACCCAAGACTGCGCATAATCTCCCTGTCTTGACCTTCAGTAAAACTTCCTGGGTTTTGCTGCATAAAATAAACACGCTGTATTAGCTCTGGGTCCTTGTCTCTCCATCAGCGGACGGTGGTCCCACCGAGCCCCAGCTTTTTCTTTCCATCTCTGTGTCTGTCTCTTTCTTTCATTTTCTCAATCCCCAGCAGCCCCTGCTCTCGAGCTACGATGGATGCAGAAAAGAGAGAAATATTCACAGTAGGTACTATTATTATCATCACTATTTTACCACTAAAAAAAAAAAAAAAAAAACTAGAGGCAACACTTCAAAGAATTAATAAAATAAGGAGTATTACAAAGTTAAAAAGTATCCTGAACTCCTTCAACAATTCAAAAAAATAATTTTCACATAAAAACGAGTATCAGAGAAATGTTAGAATAAAATTCCATATAAATTAATTACAGGAAAAATAAAAGAAAAAGGAATTTTTAAAAAAAACTAGAGCACAAAGACATTAAGCAACATTAAGGACACTCAACTAATATGCAGTGGAACTGAAACTGCAATAGTCTGGCTGTAGAGTTAACTCACAAGGGACCTTATAGGCACCTGGGAAGGCAAGGTTTTATCCTGAAGACAACAGGCTTTTTATTTTACTTTATTTTTAAATATATATATATTTTATTAATTTTTTACAGAGAGGAATAGAGAAGGATAGAGAGTTAGAAACATCGATGCAAGATAAACATCGATCAGCTGCCTCTTGCACACCCCCTATTGGGGATGTGCCCGCAACCAAGGTACATGCTCTTGACCGGAATCGAACCTGGGACCTTTCAGTCCACAGGCTAACCTCTATCCACTGAGCCAAACCGGTTTCAGCTTATTTTACTTTTTTAAAAAAATATTTTTTTATTGATTTCAGTGAGCAAGAGAGAGGGAGAAATAAATAGAAATATCAATGATGACAGAGAATTATTGATTGGCTCCCACCTGCATGCCCAACCCTGGGGATGGAGCCTGAAACCCAGCATATGCCCTGACCAGGAACTGAACTATGACCTCCAAGTGTATTGGTCAACAAAACCTTTGAGCCATACCAGCCAGGCTATAGATTTTTTTAAAGAGAGACTGGAATAAAATAATGAGATATTACTATACACCTATTACAATGGCCAAAATCCAAACAGTTACAACACAAAATGCTGACATAAATGTTGAGCAACAAGAACTCTCACTCTTTACTGGAGGGAATGCAAAATGGCACAGCCACTTTGGAAAATATTTTGGCAGTTTCTTACAAAAGTAAACATTCTCTTACTACATAATCCAGCAATTGCACTCCTTGTTATTTACCCAAATGATTTGAAACCTTCTGTCCAATCACAAACCTGCACATGGATGTTTATAATAACTTTATAACTGCCAAAACTTGGAAGCAAACAACTTAGTGGGTGAATGAATAAATAGACTGGCACATTCAGGCAATGGCATATTATTCCATGCTAAAATGCTATGAGCTACCAATCCTCAAAAAGACATGAATTTAAATGAATATTGATAAGTAAAGAAGCTAATCTGAAAAGTCTACATACATACTGTGTAATTCCAACTATATGATATTCTGGAAAAGGCAAAACTATGAAGACAATAAAAAGATCAGTGGTTGTCAGGGGTAAAGGGAGGGAAAGATCACCAGACAGAGCACAGAGGGTTTTTAGGGCAGTGACCATTCTGTATGATACTATAATTGACACATATCATCATTCATTTGCCCTCATTCATTTGCCCACATTCATTTGCCCACTAAGAGTGACCTGGATGTAAACTGAGAGACTCTGAGCGATAATGATGTGTCAACAGAGGTTTAGCAGTTGTGACAAAGGTAGCTCTCTGGGGCAGATTACTGATAGTGGATTAAGCTGTGCTTGTGTGGAGCAGAGACTATATGGAAACTCTGGGTACTTTGGGCTCAATTTTGCTGTGAACCTAAAACTGCTTTGAAAAATAAAGCCCTATTTTTTCAAAAAGGAAGAGAGACTGAGATGAGAAGATGAATTTTACATCACTCTACATGCAATGTGGAAAATAATGAAGGGAGCAAAGCTGGAGGCAGTGAGACCAAATGGCATGATTCTGAAATAGACCAAGTGAGAGTTGACTAACATAGCAGCACAGAGGAGGAAAGAAGTGGATAGCCTTAAGAAACACAAAGAAAGTAAAATCTACCAAACTTGTGACTGATTAGATGAAGTGAAGTGGTTTGTTAGTCATTGTGATAAAGATGACTTTTATTTTTTTAAATATATTTTTATTGATTTTTTTACAGAGAGGAAGAGAGAGGGATAGAGAGTTAGAAACATCAATGAGAGAGAAACATTGATCAGCTGCCTCCTGCACACCTCCTAGTGGGGATGTGCCCGCAACCAAGGTACATGTCCTTGATTGGTATCGAACCTGGGACCCTTCAGTCTGCAGGCCGACGCTCTATCCACTGAGCCAAACCGGTTTCGGTAGAAAGATGACTTTTAAACTTTCTGACTGAAAACCACAATAAAATACATATTATAACACAATCCAGCATACATATACAGTCTGCCCTTGGTACCCACAGGGATTGGTTCTGGAACATCACACACACACACACACACACACACACACACACACAGATACCAAAATCCACAGATGTTCAAGTACATACATTAAATAGCGTTGTATTTGCATATAATTTACACATATCCTCCTGTGTACTTTAAGTCATTTCTAGATTATAATACCTAATCTATATATATAAAAGCCTAAGCAACCTAACGACCGAACTACTGGTCGCTATGACACTCCTTGTGGTCAGTGCACTCCCACAGCCAACCTCCCTCGGTCTCTCCCTGCAGCCGGCCAACTTCCCATAGTCCCTCACCCCCTGGCCTGACTGGCCCTGATTAGGACTGAGCAAGACAGCTGTGATTGGCCTGATCTCCAGCCAGGCTGAGGGACCCCACCCGTGCATGAATTCGTGCACAGGGCCTCTAGTAAATATAATGCTATCTAAATAGTTGTTTGTTGTATTCTTTAGGGGAAAATGGTAAGAAAAAAGTCTGTACATGCCCAGTCCAGATACATCCTCTGCAACCATTATAGGCCTAAATACATAGTGCACATCAACTACAACAACATTTTTAGGAGAATATCTTTTATCTGTAAAACCAACATATATAGAGGACCAACTGTATATTTATATGTAATTAAAGCAAAACTTTTATGAAATACTTATCCTTGTGCTATTGGTACAATATTTTCTATTTTTAATTTTTTAAATGCTAGAGGAAACTTTCTAAATTGATTTCATTACCCCCAAAGGGTCACAAAATCCAATGTGAAACACTGTACAGATATTTAACTTAACTGCCACACTTCATTGTGGTGCCAAAATGCAGCTGTCAAACTGCTCCAAACCAAAATATTTAACATTTATTTCTGTCTCTGACCCATCCCAATTCTTCATCATCCCTGAATTTGGGAATCCTTCATAATTCCCTAATTCAGCATCTAAAAAGTATCCATTCTCCTTCTACTTAGTCTTCAGTTGACTAGTCACAATCAGAGCATTTACAGATAGCACGTATGTAAAGAGTGCTATGCTAGGCTCTAACAAGTAATAGCCATTAAACACTAACTTGCCAGCCATGTAGTAAAATAACATCACATTTCCATTTCTTACTGAAATCAAGGAAATTTTTAAAAAATTAGTCTGGCCGAAACCGGTTTGACTCAGTGGATAGAGCGACAGCCTGCGAACCAAACGGGCCCAAGTTCGATTCTGGTCAAGGCATGTACCTTGGTTGCAGGCACATTCCCAGTGGGGGGTGGAGGGGTGCAGGAGGCAATTGATGGATGTTTCTAATTCTCTTTCCCTCTCCCTTCCTCTCTATAAAAAATCAATAAAATATATCTTTAAAAAATTATTCTGGCAAATAAACACATACAATATTACTGCTTCAAAATTTAAAGCATGTTTAAGTGGGAACTACCAAATGTCAATTAACAGTAGCTTGGATAAATTGTGATATGGTCACATTTTGGACATTACATCAATGAGAATAAACAATCTATAACTACGCATAAAATTATGGGTGAACTCACAAACTAATGCTGAACAAAAAAGTCATAACTAATCTATGGCGAGTCTCTGGAGGAGAGGAGTCAGTGACTGGATGATGGCAGAGGGGGAATTTCTGAGACCTAAAGTAACCACAGCGGATGGTCTGAACATAAAAATTCCTAAACAAAACGAGTCAATAGACTGACTGGCTCAATTAAGGTAAAGACTGACTTTTGTCAAGGAAGATACAGGCCTTTTTCCACCCAATCCCCTGCCTACCTCCCCTCTCATAGTCATTAGTTTGTTCTCTGCATCTATGAGTCTCTGTTTGATTTTGTTTGTTTGTTTCTTTTTTTAGATTCTACATGTAAGTGAAATCATATGATACTGTTTTTCTGTCCAACCTATTTCACTTAGCACAATACCCTCTAAACCCATCCATGTTATCACAAATGACAAGATTTTTTATAATTGGGTAATATTTCATTGTATGTGTTTACCACATCTTCTTTATCCACTCATCTATGGATGGACACCTAGCTTGCTATTTCTTGGCTATTGCAAACAATGCTGCAATGAACATAGGGGTGTATATATCTTTTTGAATTATTGTTTATAATTCAATATTTGGATAAATACCTAGAAGTGGAATATTTAATTTTCTGCTTCATTTTTAATTTTGGGGGGAAGCCCCATGATGTTTTCCATAGTGGTGCACCAATTTACAATCCCACTAACAGTGCACGAGGGTTCCCTTTCTCCACATTCTTGACAACACTTGCCATTTGTTGTCTTTTTTATAATAGCCAATCTGAAAAGTGTGAGGTGATACTTTCATTGTACTTTTGATTTGCATTTCCCAATGATTGGTGATGTCAAGCATCTTTTCATGAATGTATTGGCCATCTGTATATCCTCTTTGAAGAAATGTCTATTCATGTTTTCTGTCTGTTTTTTAATTGGGTTGTGGGTTTTTGGATGTTGAATTGTATAAGTTCATTAAATATAGGATGTGGCAAAAGTAGGTTTTCAGCTATGAGTATGTGAAATTAATTTATTCTTGTATTATTATTTATTAATTACTAGAGGCCAGTACACGAAATTCGTGCATGGAAGGGGGTCCCCTCAGCCCAGCCTGCACCCTCTCCAATCAGGGACCCCTTGGGAGATGTCCGACTGCCAGTTTATTGGGCCTAAACCGGATATCCCTTTCACAATACAGGGCTGCTGGCTCCTAATCACTCACCTGCCTGCCTGGTTGCCCCTAACTGCCCCTCCCTACCAGCCTGATTGCCCCTCACTGCCTCTACATGCTGGCCTGATCGCCCCTAACTGCCCCCCACTACCAGCCTGGTTGCCCCCAACTGCCCCCTCCCTGATGGCCTGGTCACTCCTAACTGCCCCCCCCACCATCCTGGTCACCCCTTACTGGCCCCCCCTCCAGAGAGGAAGGGAGCAAGATAGAGAGCTAGAAACGTCAATGAGAGAGAAACATCGACCAGCTGCCTCTTGCACTTCCCCTTACAGGGGATGTGCCCACAACCAAAGTACATGCCCCTGACCGGAATCGAACCTGGTACCCTTCAGTCTGCAGACCGACGCTCTACCACTGAGCCAAACCGGTTTTGGCTTAATTAGGAATTTTTATGTACAAAGCACCACTCAAAATTTTGCAAACTTATTTCAGCTATGATGTAAGATATATCTCTATGGGTAGTAGATTATCACACATAAAAGTAGTATTAAAAAGAGTAAGTGGTGCCGGAACCAGTTTGGCTCACTGAATAGAGCGTCAACCTGCGGACTGAAAGGTCTCGGGTGTGATTCCCATCAAGGGCATGTACCTTGGTTGTGGGCACATCCCCAGTAGGGAGTGTGCAGGAGGTAGCTGATTGATGATTCTCTCTCATCGATGTTTCTAACTCTCTATCCCTCTCTCTTCCTCTCTATAAAAAAAATCAATAAAAAAGTATATTAAAAAAAAAAAAAGAGTAAGTGGTTAATTATATGGTCCTAACTCCAAAGGCACCAAAATTTCTAAAATGGTTAACACTTGAGGAATAAAAACAAGGTTGGAAAAATCTAGCACCAAGACACTGACCATCGTTTTCTCCTCCTCATCTGTACTTCAAAATGTCCCTGAGAACCCTAATACACTGCTGGTGGGAATGCAGAGTGGTGCAGCCATTATGGAAAACAGAAAGAAGTTTCCTCAAAAAATTAAGTGTGAATCTGCCATTTGATTCTATGAATATATCCTAAGAAACATGAAATACCAATTAGAAAGAATGTGTGTTCATAGCAGCACGCTTTACAATAGCTAAGATCTAGAAACAGCCCGAGTGCCCATCAGCAGATGAGTGGAGTAAGAAGTGGTACATTTATACCAGGGAATACTATGCAGCAGTACAAAAAGGAGAATCTCTTTCCCTATGACATACCATGCAGGACGTGAAGAGTATTATGCTAAGCAAAATAAGCCAGTCAGAGAAAGTCGAATATCACATGATCTCCTTCATATGTGGAAGCTAAGGAACAAAATAGATGCAGAGACAGAAGCATTGAACAGACTGTGGAATCTCACAGGGAAGGCTGGGGACGGTGGTGAGTGGGAAGTGATCAACCAAAGACCTTGTATGCATAGATGCATAACTCATGGACTGAGACAATAGGGTGGTAAAGCCTATGATAGGAGGGTTGGGGGGTGGGGGTGAGCTAGAAGGGGTCAGTGGGGGGGGGGGAGGGGGGGAGAATACATATTTAATACTTTCAACTATCAAGATTTAATTTTTTTAAAATGTCCCTGAGAAAGAATCCAACAGGGAGTACATCAGTCCCTTCTTATCCTTGGAGGACCTGCTCTGAGACCCTCTGTGGGTCTCTGAGACCACAAAGAGTGCCTAGCCCTAAACATACTGTTTACTTCCTATCTATACATATGCACGATAAAGTTTAGTTTATAAATTAGGCACAATGGCTAAGAATAAAATAAAAATTATAACAATATACTGTAATAAAAGTTATGTAGATGTGTTCTCGCTCTCTCTCTCTCTCTCTCTCTCTCACACACACACACACACACACACACACACACCCCAGATGGCTAAGTGCATGGCTGCTTAAGTGACTGGGTGGGTAGTGCAATTTAGAACTTAGGGATGTTAGTTTGGGGGCTCTCCCAGTGGCTGACGGCAGCTAACGGAGACCGTGGATACGGGGGACCACTGTGTTCCCGGGAGTGCAGAGCAGGTGGCGTTCTCCACCGCTTCCCTGTGGGGAGTGGGGCGGACCTTGCCTCCTCGGAAGGTCCGCTCAGAGTCAAAGGAGACGCGGACTGGGGAGCCTCTTGCTGCGTCCCTCACAAACGCCGTAGCGGGGACGAAACAGAAGGAGGGAGAGGAAATGGGCGCCTTTAGAACCGGGAGACACTGCAACCCCTCAGACCCTCTACATCACAACCCGCGCCAACTGCCGCTCCGACGCCCCAGGGCCGATGTCCCAGGCGGCGGGGTGGCGGACGGACCCGCGCCCCGCGCCTCCCGGGCCCCGGGCCGGGGCTCCCGGGGCTCCTCTGCCCGCACCCGGACCGAGCGGAGCGGGGAGCCCGCCTCCCGAGCGGGGCGGCCCCGTTACCTTGGTCATCCCAACGCCCACCACGAACACCCGGCGCAGGGGCCGCGGCTCCAGGGAGGTGATCGTCATGGCTCCCACTGCGCGGACCCGGCGGCGGACGGACGCGGGGCGGCGCAGCGGGGTGGGTGCTGTCAGACGGCAGCGGCCCGGGAACCCCAGCTACCCCGGGTTTAAGGGGGCGGGAGCCTGAGGAGGGGCAGAGGGGAGGGGTGACGGGGCGACTGCGCCTGCGCAGAGGCTCGGCTGCGCGCGCAGCTTTGGGGGCGGGAGTTACTAGCAAGCCCCGCCCCTTCCTCTCTTTTTTTTTCCTTTTATTTTTTTCAGGTTTATTAAAGCTAGGCAGGGACAGTGAGCTGTGAGGATGAACCAGGAGAAATAAGTCACAATCAGGGAAAGACAAGTATCCCAGGATCTCACGCATATGTGGAACCTAATGAACAAAATGAACTGATGAACGAAATAGATCTAGAGCCGAAACCGGTTTGGCTCAGTGGATAGAGCCCGGGCCTGCGAACTGAAGGGTTCTGGGTTCGATTCCTATCAAGGGCATGTACCTTGGTTGCGGGCACATCCCCAGTAGGGGGTGTGCTAGAGGCAACTGATAGATGACTTTCTCTCATCGATGTTTCTAATTCTCTATCCCTCTCTCTTCCTCTCTGTGAAAAATCAATAAAATATATTAAAAGTAAAAGAAAAGAAAACCAGCTCTGTTCTCCATCCAGAGAGGGCGGGTCCCTTTTAAAAAAAAAAGATCTAGAGACAGAAAAGCATAGAACAGACTGATGCATTTCAGAGGGAACGTCGTCGGGTGACGGGTCTGGGGTCTGGGGATGGGGGGAGATTAATCAAATAATTTATATGCATATATGCATAACCCATGGACACAGATGATAGTCTGGTGAAAGCCAGGTAAGGGGGAGGGGGCGTCAATTGGGGGGAAAAGGGAGGCATCTGTAATAATTTCAACAATAAAGATAAATTTTAAAAATAAAGGTAGGGACAATGAAACAAGGAAGGGCTTAGAGTAAGCAGCAGGAGAGAACCTCGGTGGGGCTGCTTTGGCTGCTGGAGTCAGGATAAGGGGGCCTTGGAGACAGGTTCAGGGGTGAGCCCAGGTCCAGCTGCCGCTGGCAATTGTTCCTCTGATTGCAAGTCTCATGGGAACCCTTAGAGTTTAGGAGATGCAGCCGGAGAGGGAGGGAAGAAAGGCTTGAGCATGCCCTGGGAGGGAGAGAGCTGTTATGTAGCTCTTTGTAGACGGATATGCTCAATGTTATCTCGTTTTTCAAATGGCATTTCATTTCTTTCTGGCATGGTCTACACACATGGACTTCACTGCCTCACCTCCCATATACACCACTCATCTCAATTTTATGCTCAGCAATTGGGTTGCAAAAATGTTTGTGTCCTGGAGGGGTGGATCAGTTTGTTAGAGCATCAGCCTGACATGCCAGGCTGGTCAAGGCACATACAAGAAACCATGGATGAATGCTTAAGTAAGTGGAACAACAGATTAATGTTTCTTGCTTGCTCCCTTCCTCTCTCTCTCTAAAATTAATGTTAAAAATTAAAAATATATACCGTATATTTGTGAGTATGAATCCCTAGTGTGGATGAAATCCGTAGCGGAGGCCACATACTAAAACTGACAAGCTTGCAGAAACCGGTTTGGCTCAGTGGATAGAGAGTCGGCCTGCGGACTGAAGGGTCCCAGGTTCAATTCTGGTCAAGGGCATATACCTTTGGTTGAGGGCATATCTCCAAAGGGGGATGTGCAGGAGGCAGCTGATGGATGTTTCTCTCTCATCGATGTTTCTAACTCTCTATCCTTCTCTCATCCTCTCTGTGAAAAATCAATAAAATATATTTTTTTAAAAAACAAAAAACTAACAAGCGCAGGGGAGGCCTGTATGGTGGGCCTTACAAACTCAAGAGACCTAAAATAACCACATTGAATGGTCTGAACATAAAATTTCCTAACTAAAAGTGAGTCAATAGACTGACTGGCTCAATTAAGGTAAAGACTGACTTTTGTCAAGGAAGATACAGGCCTTTTTCCACCCAATCCCCTGCCTACCTCCCCTCTCATAGTCATTAGTTTGTTCTCTGCATCTATGAGTCTCTGTTTGATTTTGTTTGTTTGTTTCTTTTTTTAGATTCCACATGTAAGTGAAATTATATGATACTGTCTTTCTGTCCAACCTATTTCACTTAGCACAATACCCTCTAAACCCATCCATGTTATCACAAATGGCAAGATTTTTTTATAGCTGAGTAAATATTTAATTGTATGAATTTACCACATCTTTATCCACTCATCTATGGATGGACACCTAGCTTGCTATTTCTTGGCTATTGTAAACAATGCTGCAATGAACATAGGTGTATATATATCTTTTTGAAATATATATATATATATCTATATTATTGTTTTGTTTTGTTTTTTACAGAGAGGAAGGGATAGGGATAGAGAGCTAGAAACATCGATGAGAGGAAAACGACCAACTGCCTCCTGTACACCCCCTACCAGGGATGTGCCCACAACCAATGTACATGCCCTTGACCGGAATCAAACCTGGGATCTTTCAGTCTGCAGGCAGACACACTATCCACTGAGTCAAACCAGTGGATAGATTTAGTTTAAGTTTGGCAGCTGCTCCATTTTTAATTTTGGGGGGAAGCCCCATGATGTTTTCCATAGTGGTGCACCAATTTACAATCCCACTAACAGTGCACGAGGGTTCCCTTTCTCCACATCCTTGCCATCAATTGCCATTTGTTGTCTTTTTTATAATAGCCAATCTGACAAGTGTGAGGTGATATTGCATTGTGCTTTTGATTTGCATTTCCCTAATGATTGGTGATATCAAGCATCTTTTCATTAGTGTATTGGTGATCTATATATCCTCTTTGAAGAAATGTCTATTCATGTCTGTCTGTTTTTTAATTGGGTTGTGGGTTTTTGGATGTTGAATTGTATAAGTTCATTAAATATAGGATGTGGCAAAAGTAGGTTTTCAGCTATGAGTATGTGAAACTGTTTATTCTTGTATTATTATTTGTTAATTATTATATTACTTTCCATACAAACAACTATAAACCCCACCCTGAATTTTGGATATTAACCCTTGATTGTGCGTGTGTGTGTGTGTGTTTGATATATATAAAATATATATATATGTGTATATATATATATATATATAATTTGCAAATATCTTCTTTCATTTGAAGTATGGTAGTAACTACACTTGGGTAAAAATTGCTGTTTAATATTTTAACCTTGCTGTTTTGGATTCTGTACTTATTTAAAAGTTATTTTAATTTTCTGAACTTATGTTTGCTATCCCAATACTCCACTGATGATAGTTTGAATATCCCATTGATTGTGATCTCACTGGTTATCAAAGCACATTCCTGGGACCAAAGACAGATCAATTATCCTAAATTGTCTCAGTAGCTACAGATAACTGAGTTTCGGTTGACTCAGTGGTCCCAGAACCAGAAGAGCACAACTTATCCTAAATTGTCAAGGTGGTCCCAGATTATGTGTTTCTAATGATTCAGTGATTCATAGATACTTTAGGTAACTAACTTGCTCAGATTCTGCTTCTGTAAAAATGCTTTTTTTCTGAGAAACAGGTTCCTCATTCCAGACCCAAAAATGTAATCGGTAGTTTGTGATTTTCAGGCGTGAAAGTTGTTTGGGGCTCTGAGGTCTGGAGCACTTTTGCTCCCTCGTATGTTGCCGGTTTTTTGTTTTTTGTTTTTTGGTGTTTTTTTTTTTTTAATATGTTTTATTGATTTTTTACAGAGAGGAAGGGAGAGAGATAGAGAGTCAGAAACATCGATGAGAGAGAGTAATCAATCAGCTGCCTCTTGCATGCCCCCCACTGGGACGTGCCCGCAACCCAGGTACATGCCTTAACTGGAATCGAACCTGGGACCCTTCAGTCCACAGGCCGACACTATCCAGAGCCAAACCGGTATCGGCTATTGCCGGTTTTTAATAAATGACTCCATAATTCTACTTTTTGAGGTGTCCTTTGTAAGATGGGGGTTACACTACAACTCATTCAGTTGCCCTTCCTTCTTGTTGATGGTTTAAAAATGTGAAACAATATTGTATACATATATAGTTGATTCATTAACATTGGACTCAAGGCCCTGTAACTCATGTCTGAAATAAGTTTATCTAAGATTATTTTATTCATAAGGCACATCATACCCTCTTGCACTTATGTCTACCAGACAGCACTTCAGGCTTAGGGACCATTTTTAAACAGTGAAATCACCAACAAAAAGGACCCAAATGCAAAAACAAAACAAAACAAAAAAGGTGACAAAATAGATCATGATAGGGACACTTGTTCACAGCATGAAAGCTAAAACAAGTACTGCCTGGTCTTATTTGACCTCAGCTGACGTGCTTTTAATTAGGAATTTTTATGCACAAAGCATCACTCAAAATTTTTGCCATCTCAAGAACTCTTGGAGTATTGACTTTGGGGTTACAATTTTCGTGAGTAGACAAATTTGCAATTCAGAATCTGCAAATAAAAAGGATAAAATAAGTAAAATATATTTAGGGGCTAAAGCCTTTTTTTCTGTCTCCTCCTGTAACGCTAACAAAACAACTCATGAGAATGAGCTTCGGAGAGATTGAAAAGGTCACAAAGTTAGGACCTGAACTTTGTGAAATATGGTAGCAACCATACTTGGGTGAAAACTGCTGTTTAAATTTTAACCCTGCTATTCATTTGCTTACTTGCTTAAACAATAGGGTAGTTACCTCAGCTTCCAGGTGGAGACCTGGAGGCTAAGGCAATTTTCCTGTGCCTGGGACGAGAACTACAGTAGCTGCAGGGGTAGAAACTGTAATAATCTTTAGAGATTAACCGCTGAGCTCTGCTTCTGTATTATTGGCTATCGCAAGACAGGGCCGCATTCCAATGTTCCCAGTCTTTAGAATTTGGAACAAAGGAAAATTCCTGTGGTTTGGACCTTTAAAAAAACTGCCTACACCTGGAACAGCATGGTCGTGTGGACTCCATCTGCCCACCTGTGTGTGGTGCTCTTGCAGCCCTCCTGGCCAGTTTTTCAATAAATCCTTGCCTGCTTTTTTTAATCAATCATCAGCCCCTGGTGGTCTTATTTTGAACCCAGGGTTCGACCCCACAACACTTGAAATCCACCCCCACCCTCTCCCTCACCCCTACCCTCACCCATACCCTTTATTGGTGTCAGGTCCCATGAGTTGCAACACATGCTTGGACTCTTCCAATTTAGGTCATTAACAGGATGCAGAGCTGTTCCAACAATCCGAGCATCTGCCTCAGGCTTTAGTGCTCTCAGTCTCAGATCCGGCTCAAGACCACCCTTAAATTTTTTTTTTTATTGATTTTTTTACAGAGAGGAAAGGAGAGGGATAGAGAGTTAGAAACATGGATGAGAGAGAATCATCTGCCTCCTGCACACCCCCCACTGGGGATATGACCGGAATCTAACATGGGACCTTTACGTCCGCAGTCCGTTGCTCTATCCGCTGAGCCAGACGGGTTTCAGCTGGACTTTTCCCTTTTGCAACAGGTTTTAAAGCTGTGGTCAGGACTTTAACCGGCGCTGCCTTTCTGCTCTCCAGTGGTCACTCTCATTGTCCCCGCTTTACAGATTAAACACTGCCGCTTCCATGAAGAGCCGCTGGTAGCCTTGCCCCCGAACCGATCCCGAACCCGCGGCGGGACCGGCCTCCCCCCGCCGGCGGCGAGCAGCGCGGCCCGCGGCCGCCAGGGGGAGCAGTGCGCAGCCTCCTGCCGACCTGCGGGCGGGCGCGGAGCGGGAGCGCAGGTGGGGAGCCGCCGGCCGCCCGTCCCAGCCCCGCGCCCACATGCTGCGCGCCCTGGCCCGCGCCCTGCGCCTAGCGCGCCCCCGGGGGCCCCTCCCGGCCCGCCGCTGCGCCTCGGCTGCCGCGGCCCGGGACCCCGAGATCCAAGTGCGCGCCCTGGAGGGTCCCGACACAGGTGAGTGCGCTCTCCGCGCTCCCCGGGAGCACCGCGGGGGCGGGCGGCCTGGGCGGGCCGGGGCCGAGCTCAGGAGGGGGGCGCCGGGCGCTGCGGCCCGGCCCAGGCGATGCCCACGGAAAGCCTGAGACCGGAGGGTCGTCGAATATATTTCAGGATGTGTACCCCGATCCCCTGCGTCCTCGTCTAGGTTGCCCGAGAAGGGGGGACCCCCTGACTGGCCTCCCCGGCACTCCTTGGGATGGGGACTCTATGGGGACTCTAGGTCCGGACCGGTCCTCTCGGACCCCGGTGAGCCTGGGCTGCGAGGAGGGGGAGAGGGATGGATGGATCCTCGGGGGGTAGGACCCGGCACCAGCACCCGCCCCCGCCCGCCGCTTTAAAAGCCTGAGCGCGCCCCTGGGCCAAGGCCCTTGGCCGGGTCCCAAGGGGGCGGCGGCCGCGGGGCCAATCGCGCGAGGCCGCGGGGGAGGGCGGGGAGCACACGGCTCCCTCCTCCTCCCTGCACGGTCCTCCTCCCTGCACGGGGCCGGGAAAGTTCACCCGCTGGTCACCGACAGAAAACACCTCCATTGCGCATTGTGTGTTTTGTTGTTATTGTTACCCATACCCCTCAGTCTTGCCCTCAGGCCTAGGCCGTTCTCTTGGCTTTCTCCCCAATCCTGTTTGTGTCAAAGGTTTTTAATTTGCACAATCTGCATCGGAGACTGCATCTCTTGTTTCCTCCCCCACCCCTAACTAACATTTGGAGAGCTGCTTTGCTGTATTAATCTAGTTCCTTGCTCCCTGCTGTGGCACCCTGCTCCCTCCTGTGCATCCCCCCCCCCCCCCGCTTTTGATGGGCATGTAGGGGTCGCTGAGTCTTAGAGAATGCCCCTTACTCGCATGCGTTATTCGTGCCCAGCTGGCAACAGTGCTTGCCTTGATGTTTTTCTTTGCCATGAAGAAACAGAGGCACGCAGACTGATGCATACGCCTTTCAGCATAACTATTATAGCTTGTCTCGTTTTTTTGTTTGTTTTTGTTTTATTCTTGTAAGTATATTTCCAGTAGGACATGATCTCACTCATCTGGGGGAAATGGTGAATGACATAGACTGATGAACAAGAACAGACCCAGAGATAAGGAGCCACGGGTCAGACTGTTGGACCTCAGAGGGAGGGTGGGGCTAAAAGGGAGAGATCAACCAAAGGACCTGTGTGCATACGTATGAGCCTAACCAGTGGTCAAGGACAATAGGGGGGTGAGGGCATGAGTGGAGGGGGGGATTAGAATGGGGGATTGAGGACAAATATGTGATGCCTTAATCAATAAAGAAATTTAAAAACAAAAACAACAACAACAAACAGAGGCACACCCTGGCCCGCAACTCAGCTGGTTAAAGTGTCATCCCTGTACCTCAAGGTTGCAGTTCCATCCTCCCCACCCCTCCACCCCACCCCATCAGGGTACATACAAGAAACAACCAATGAATGTGTAAGTGGAAATAAATGTCTCTCTCTCAAAATCAATAAACTGCTTGGCCAACGTGGCTCAGTGGTTAGAGGATTGGCTTGCGGACTGAGAGGTCCTAGGTTCAGTTCCCGTCAAGGGCACATGGGGGGAGGGGGGTCCGGGCTAGATTCCTAGTAGGGGGCGTGCAGGCGGCAGCCAATCAATGATTCTCTCATCATTGATGTTTCTATGCCTCTCACCCTCTCCCTTCATCTCTGAAATCAATACAAATATATTTAAAAATAAATAAAATTTTAAATTAAAAATAAATAAAAAAACAGCTGCACAGGGGAATTATGCAATTTTGAATGACGTGTGATTTCAAAACTTGTGTTCTCAACTATTAGGTCCTCACTGCCTCTTCTGTACAAAACACAGACTAGTACATCAGTAAAAAGTATTATCAGGGGTCATAGACCTTGCAGACAGCAGAATTGTTATCCATGGATAACAAAGATCAGCATAGTAAGCCTCTGCCCGCCATTTTTTTTTAATTTAAATACTAGAGGCCCAGTGCATGAAATTCATGCATGGGGGAAGGGGGTCCCCTCAGCCCAGCCTGCATCCCCTCCAATCCAGGACCCCTTGGGGATGTCTGACTGTTGGCAATTGGACATCCCTCTCACAATATGGGATCACTGGCTCCTAACTGCTCACCTGTGTGCCTGATTGCCCCTAAACAACCCCCCGCCCCCCTGTCAACCTGATCACTCCTAACCACTTCTGCCTGCCAGTCTGATCACCTCTATCTGCCCCCCACCCCACCCTGATTTCCCCCTCTGCCGACCTGGTCACCCCATGCAGCCTGCTGGTCAGTTGTTACTGTGAGGGTATCGTGACCAATTTGCATTTTACCCTTTTATTTAGATATAGATATTTTTTTATTGATTTGAGAAACAAGGGAGTGAGAGAGAGAGATAGAAACAGCAATAATGAGAAAGAACCATTGATCATCTGCCTCCTGCATGCCCCATACTGGGGAAACGGACCCATAGCCCTGGCTTATATCCTGACCAGGAATCGAACCGCGACCTTCTGGTTCATAGGTCAATGCTCAACCACTGAGCCATGCTGGCCAGCTGCCCCTACCATTTAGGAGGTCATTGAGGGACAGGCATAAGGAGAAGCAGTGGAGGAAACATGAGGAAAAGACTCCACGCAGGAGAAACGCCACCTCTCCCCCATCCCCCCAAAATGACTTGGGGCCATTCGATGTTTTTGTTAGAAGCCACAGGCTCTGCCTTCATCTTGGACCAAGGGCATAAGATGCCTGTTGTCCTTGAAAACAGGATTGGCTTCTTAACCACTCTTCACCCTTCCTTATGGCTCAATTCCAACTCCTTACCAGGGGTTCATTTTAAGCTGTCCCACCTCTGTGTTTTATCCTCGCCATGCCCCTGCCTTGGGTCCTCTCCTTTCCTCTCTGCCTAGGTAAATACTTCTGGAATTATCACCTTTCTTTTCTTTTTCTTTCTTTTTTTTTTTATTGATTTTTTACAGAGAGGAAGGGAGAGGGATAGAGAGTTAGAAACATCGATGAGAGAAACATCGACCAGCTGCCTCCTGCACACCCTTCACTTGGGATGTGCCCGCAAGCAAGATACATGCCTTTGACCGGAATTGAACCTGGGACCTCTGAATCTGCAGGCCGATGCTCTATCCACTGAGCCAAACCGGCTAGGGCTGGAATTATCACCTTTCAATATCCCTTTATTTTCCATGTATCTGGACTTGTGTCCCTCGTAGGTTGTTAGCTCGCTGGACATAGGACTGCTAGCTGGGTCCAGCTGTTAACTTAGGCAAATTCTCTTCTTCCCCAGGCTTCCGTTTTCCCTTCTGTGTAATAAGGCGTTGTTAAACCAGTTGCTCTGTATACTAACTACCTCCAGTAGTTTCTGTTGACTCCTCTGCACGTCGCCAAGCCTGTGATCCAAACCCTCCAGGCAAAAGTGATCCTACATCAACAAGGACACCAGCAGCCAGTTGCAGGGTGGGTTGGGTGCGTGAGGAGAGTGCAGGGCAGACCCATCTCTACTGCTGGTGCCCAGAAACAGCCGTGTCCCTAGAACCCGGGCTCACACAGAAGGCAGGGGCCGTGGCAGAGTCTTCTTGGTTTCTCCATGCGGTATGCAAATTGGATGTTGTCAGATGAAAGAATGAAAGCCAAAGACACCCTGCCTGGCTCTTCAGGGCTACCAGCTTGGAGGTCACACCGTGTTTTGGGCCCTAGATTTTCCCCAGCACCTGTGTCCTTTTCCTGCTCACTGTACCCACAAACTCTGGCTAACCATTTAGATATGTCCTATGTGCATTATTTCTTTTTTCTTTTTTCTTTTATTTTTATATATTTTATTGATTTTCCACAGAGAGGAAGGGAGAGGGATAGAGAGCTAGAAACATCGATGAGAGAGAAACATCGACCAGCTGCCTCCTGCACACCCCCTACTGGGAATGTGCCCGCCACCAATGTACATGCCCTTGACCGGAATCGAACCTGGGACCCTTCAGTCCCCAGACCGACGCTCTCTCCACTGAGCCAAACCGGTTTCTGCGCATTATTTCTTTTAATCCTCAAAGCAACCTTTTTTTTTTTTTTTTTTTTTAATTATTTCTATTTACAGATAAGGAAATTAAAGGCCAGGTGGATAGCATAATGTGCCCAAGGCCATGGAACTGGTGTATGACTGAGCGATGGCTGAGTGAAGCACAATAAGATTTGGCAGCTAGTGTTGTGAGAAAGGAATATAAAGATGAAAAGAGGAGAAAAAGATGAAAGATGGGAGAGAGTCAGCCAGAGAGAGAGGAACGACAGAACAGGAAAGCGACAGGAGAGAAAATTTCTATCAGTCCCAGGACATCATTACTGTATTCGTTTTCTATTGCCACCAAGCGTTGTTGCTTATAATAACACATTTATTGTCTCATAATTTCTGTGGGTCAGAAGTCCAGGCACAAATTAGCTGGGTTCTGTTACCTTGGGTCTTCTTGGACAGGGTTATGTTCTCATCATCAGCTTGACTGGGGAGAGATCCGCTTTCAAGCTCCTCTCCTTGCTGACAGAACTCACTTGCTATGTTTATAGGACTTAAGTCCTGTTTTCTTGCTGACTGTTGGCCAGGGGGCCCATCTCAGCTCTTAGAGGCTTCCCACACTTCCGTGATATATGACCCTCTCCATAGTTCCACTATTTCTCTAGAATGCACTAGCAAAACAGTCTTTTTTTTTTTTTTTAATATATATTTTATTGATTTTGTACAGAGAGGAAGGGAGAGAGATAGAGAGTTAGAAACATCAATGAGAGAGAGTCATCGATCAGTTGCCTCTTGCACACCCCCACCTGGGGATATGCCCGCAACCAAGGTACATGCCCCTGACCGGAATCGAACCCGGGACCCCTCAGTCCCCAAGCCGACGCTCTATCCACTGAGCCAAACCAGTCTCGGCAAAACAGTCTTTTAAAAAAAATAAATAAATAAAATAAATCTTGCCAAAGCCAGTTTGGCTCAGTGGTGGAGCGTCGGTCTGTGGACTGGGGGGTCCCGGGTTTGATTCCGGTCAGGGATGTGCGTTGGTTGCGGGCACATCCCCGGTGGGGGATGTGCAGGAGGCAGCTGGTTGATGTTTCTCTCTCATCAACGTTTCTGGCTCTCTATCTCTCTCCCTTCTCTCTGTGAAAAATCAATAAAATATATTTAAATAAATAAATAAATACATCTTTATTGTTCAGATTATTACAGTTGTTCCTCTTTCTTCCCCCCACAGCTCCCTTCCCCTCTCTCTCTCTCTCTCTCTCTCTCTCTCTCTCTCTCTCTCACACACACACACACACACACACACACACACACACACACACACTTCTGCCTGCCTTGCTCTCCTAGTCACCCCTCAGCTCTCAGCTAAAAGGTCAGTTCCTCCACCAGGTCACGTTGACCTCCATAGGGTTCCCCTTGGCCCACTCTATTCCTCCTTCCTCCTTGTCCTTTTTATTCTGTGTTCTCATCACAAACAGTAATTACATCACTGAATCTCTGTCAGACTGCAGGTTCTGAGAGGTCAGGGACTGGGCCTGCCTGATCTCTGGAATCCGTGTCTAGTACAGAAGCCAGCACATGTTAGATCACATTATTTAATTGTACAAATGATTGAATAGAGAGGTCCTGGGTTGAGCTTTCAGGAACTTTGGCTTTAAAAAATTGGGTAGTATTTTCCCCACCATACCCTGTTCCTCAAATGAACATTTTCACGTATTCTCACCTTGCTCAAACGCTTCCACTTGTGAACTGCCACCTGTAATCCTCTAAGTATTTCATGCACTTACCTCACTCAAGACCTCGTGTTTTTATTTACTAGTCCTGGGCTATCAGCACCTTGTGGGCAGGGACTGTTAGGTAACTTATAACTCACACAATTTCTTATCTATCACAATTGTTCAATAGATAGTACAGTTTCTTTTTTCACGCCAACACTTGGTGGGTTGTTTTGTTTGTTTTGTTAATCCTCATCCAAGGATATTTTTCCCTTTTTTTTTTTTTTAAGGGAAAGTGGAAGGGTGGGTGGGAGGGGAAGAGAGAGAGAAAAACGATGTGAGAGAGACACATCTATTGGTTGCCTCCTGCACACACATCCCCCCTGGGGCTGGGGACTAACCTGCAGCCCTGACTGGGAATCAAACTCGAAACCCCCTCTGCTCTGGATGGCGCGCTAACCACTGACCCACATCAACCACGGCAACACTGTTTGTGTTTTTCAGATTTTTTTTCTTTTTTAAAAATTTCTTTATTGATTAAGGTGTTACATATGTGTCCTTATTCCCCCATTACCCTCCCAAACCCCCCCGCATGCCCTCACCCCCCTGTTGTCTGTGTCCATTGGTTAGGCAGATTTTTTTGTTTTAGTCATTGTACTGGGTGTATAGTCAAATCTTATTATGCTTTTTAAAAAACTCTTATTTGAGCCGGGACTGGTTTGGCTCAATGGATAGAGCGTCGGCTTGGGGACTGAAAGGTCCCGGGTTCGATTCCAGTCAAGGGCATGTACCCTGGTAGGGGGTGTGCAAGAGGCAGCTGATCGATGACTCTCTCTCATCGATGTTTCTGACTCTCTATCTCTCTCCCTTCCTCTCTGTACAAAATCAATAAAATATATTTTAAAAAATAAATTAATAAATAAAAAACTCTTATTTGATTCTAATACAATTAAACACATTTTCATGTGCTTATTGGTCGTTTGTTCATCTTCTTTTTGTGGATTTACCTGCATAAGAGTTGGGCTTTTTAAAAATTGAGGTGTAATTGACTTTCGTTAGTTTCAGGTGTACAGCTAAATGACTCAATATTTGTTACATGGTGAAATAATCACCACAACGAATCTACTTAAGATCCACCACCTCTCATAGTTACACATTTTTCCCCCTTGTTCTGAGAATGCTTAGTATCTACTTTCTTAGCAGCTTTCCGATATCACATCCCCAGGACTTATTATAGGTATTTGTTTAGTAAACGAGTTACGGACTTTAAAACTTGGGTAGAAGGAAACCTAGAGAAGTGCAGAGTGTAACTCAGAGGGAGGAGGAGACCGGGAGAATGTGGGGCCACAAAGCAGACGAGTGGAATTCTACTTTAGCCAAAAGCCATCAAACGCACAACACTAAGAGTGAACCATAAGGTACACTATGGACATTGGCTGACAGTAGCACATCCATGTAGGTTTGTCTACTGTAACTCTGGTGTGGAATGTTGATGGGGGGGGAGGACTATGCATGTATGGAAGGCTGGCTGGGATAGAAGGGAAATCTCTGTACTTTCTGCTCAATTTTACTGCTGTTAAAAAAAAAAAAAAAAAAAGGAAAAAAGCCACACAACTGTGGCTTTGGAGAGAGAGAGAGAGAGAGAGAGAGAGAGAGAGAGAGAGAGAGAGAGAGAGAGAGAGAGAGAGAGACAGACAGTGGCAGAAGCGGGCAGGAACCACTGCAGTGGTCGTTGTCCCTCTCCCATGTTCTCCTCAATCCCCTCTACTTCTTTTGGGAAGCAGGAGGGACAGTGCTATTCTGTTTTAAAGTCAGGAGGACCCAAGCCCGGGCGTGTGTGGCTTCCCGTCTCACTGCCGCTCCAGGTGGGGGCTGCCCGGCCCGGCCAGGGGTGAGCGGGCCAGGGCCTCACCCCAGGTCGCCCGTCCCTGCAGGAATCACCGAGATCCTGATGAACAGACCGCAGGCCCGAAATGCCCTGGGATACGTCTTTGTTAGCGAGGTGAGACACGGCACACACCGGGCGGCACACACCGGGCGGGCTGGGGCCAGGCCGGGAGGTGTCTGATGGGTCTGCTCTGCAGCTGCGGGAGGCCCTGGCCCGGCTGCGGGAGGACCGGCAAGTGCGCGTCCTGCTCTTCCGGAGTGCAGTGGGGGGCGTGTTCTGCGCAGGTGGGTGTCCTCCCTTCCCTCCCCGCCTCCCCCGGGGCTCCGCCTGCAGGGGTTGGTGGGGGCTTACGTCATCTCCGGCCGAGGACTCTTCCTTCCCATTGGACAGACGTGAACTCAAGTCTCAGAGGTAAAATTCCCTGCTAGGGTTACATAGCTACCAAGAGGTAGAAGAGAATCCGGTCTGAACTTGGCAGTTCTGTCCCCCGAATTCTTATTCTCGAGGCCACCCCATGCTGCCTTCCGACCCTTCCCTGAGGAAAAGAGGAAACTGAACCAAAGACCAACAAAGGTTCATCCATGTTGCAACATGGATCAGAGCATCATTCCTTTTTATGGCTGACTATTCCACTGCATCTTCACCCACTTTATTGATCCATCCTTTGGGGGACACCTTTTGGCTATCATGGATAATGCTGTTTTGAACACTGGTATGCAAGGGTCTGTTTGAGTCCTTGCTTTCCATTATTTGGAGTATATCCTTAAAAGTGGAATTACTGGATCACAGTAATTTTACGTTTAACTTTTTGGAGAGACCACCAAAATGTTTTCCACAGCAGCTGCAACATGTTATAATCCCACCAGCCATGGACCAGGGTTTTCCACGTTGTTGTTTATAATAGCCATCCTAATGGGATGTGAACTCATTGTGGTTTGGGTTTGCATTTCCCTAATAACTAATGATGTTAAGCATCTTTTTTTTAAATATATCTATTTTATTGATTTTTTTTTTTTACAGAGGCTTGACAACACTCATGTTCTGTCCGCTTTTGCAAATTTACCTAATGTTAAGCATCTTTTAAAAATATATATATTTTTTATTATTATTATTATTATTATTTATTTTTTTTTCCAGAGGAGAGGGATAGAGAGTTAGAAACATCGATTGGCTGCCTCCTGCAACACCCCCTTCTGGGAATGTACCCCAATCAAGGTACATGCCCTTGACCGGAATCAAACCTGGGACCTTTCGGTCCGCAGGCCGATGCTCTATCCACTGAGCCAAACCGGTTAGGGCATTTAAGGATCTTTTCATGTGTTTGTTGGCCACCTGTGTATCTTCTTTGGAGAAAAGACTATTGAAATCTTTGTCCTTTGTGGGGGTTTTTTGTTGTTGAGTAATAGGAGGTTTTTGTGTGTCCTAGACATTAATCTCCTATTAGATATGTGAATTGCCAATATTTTCTGCCATTCTGTGGGCTGTCTTTTCACTCCTTTGCAGTGTCTTTTGGCAGAAAAGTTTTAATTTTGAAATACATTTTTTTCTTTCTGTCGTGGCACCTCTCCTTTACGACCCACTCCCTTTTCCTCCCTGGGTCTTCCTGGCGTTTCTCCTTCCCCGCTGGCTGCTTCTCCTCAAGTCTCCTTCGCTGGATCATAACAGCCGAGGACTCAGTAACGGGTTATTTCCCAAGGACTGTCGCCAGCCCCCTATTTGCAGGTGCAGACCTGAAGGAGCGGGAGCAGATGAGTGAGGCAGAGGTGGGGGTCTTTGTCCAGCGGCTCCGAGGCCTGATGAATGAGATTGGTGAGGGTGCAGACGTGGGGTGGAGGGTGGAGGAGGCCCTGCTGACCCTGCCATACCCCTCCCCTCTCTTCTAAGGAGAGGACAGCTCTTACCATAAGCTCCGTGGAAAGACAGATGGCTCTCCCAGGGAGGACGGGCACAGGAACTGCACAAGGAGGAGGTGGCCAGAGGGGGCAGAGGGCGTCTCCTTCGCACAGGGCTCAGCCTCTGTGTGTCTCCCCCCCCCCCCCCCCCCCCCCCGTGACATCAGGCTTCAGGCCTCGCTGTTCCAGAGGAGCCACGTTTCACCAAACATGCTTCCAGGCTTGGGCATTGTTGGTCCTTTGGCTGGGATATCCCCTCCTCAGCCACCTGAACTTCTTACTCATCCTTTTTTTTTTTTTTTTTTTTTTAATGTTATATGCTTTTTTAATTTTATTGATTCTTTACAGAGAGGAAGAGAGAGGGATAGAGAGTTAGAAACATCCATGAGAGAGAGGCATCGATCAGCTGCCTCTTGCATACCCCCCACCGGGGTTGTGCCCGCAACCAAGGCACATGCCCTTGTCGGGAATCGAACCTGCGACCTCTCAGTCCGCAGGCCGACGCTCTATCCACTGAGCCACACCGGCTTCGGCCTTACTCATCCTTTAATACCACCCGTACCTCCTCCCCCTGGAGGGCTTCCCTGACCCCTCCTCCAAGCTTCCTGTAACAGAGTACAGATCGCCGGGTCTGTCTTCCCAGGCCTCATTCCATTCTGTGTTCCCGGCACCCAGCACGGGGCTTGCCACACAGAGCAAGAAGGGAAAGCAGAGTGGCCAGTCCCCAGGTGCCTGGCAGGGGAGGAGCCCGAGCAGGGATCATCCAGCCCATCATCTCCCCACCCTGGTTTCTAAACTGGTCCCACAGATTCCCCTGTTGGAAAATCCAGCTTCTAAAATAACCCGGCTGAGGCCCCCAACTCTGACACCACTGGGGCCCTCTCTAACCGTGAATCCCTCCCTGTCCCGGTCCTGCCAACGCCTCTCACCCGGAGCCCTTCTTCGTCTCCACAGCGGCCTTCCCCGCACCCACCATTGCAGCCATGGATGGGTACGCCTTGGGTGGAGGCCTGGAGCTTGCCCTGGCCTGTGACCTTCGCGTGGCAGGTACTGGGCAGGGGGAGAGGTGGGGGAGGGTGGGGAGGAAAGGGTGAGTGAAACAGTGTAAGTCTGGGGATCCTGTGAAGTCAGCCACTGCTCTTGGCTTTCCTACCCACAGCCGACTAAAGGCAAGGTCGGGGGCACAGGGGAAGCTGGTTCCCCTCCTGGCCCAGCCCCTGACTGCTGTAGAACCAGCCACCCCCAGCACCAGCCTCCCTCAGCACCAGAGTGCCCCTGCCCATCGAGAGCCACTGCTGACGGGACAGGGATGAGAGCACAGAGAGGGAGGGCAGAGCAGGACAAGACTAGGTGTCTAACCCTCCAGGTCTGTCCAAGAAGCTTTACTTAGCATGTGTGGGTTTTTAAAATATATTTTATTGATTTTTTCTGAGAGAGAGAGAGAGAATTAGAAACATCGATCAGCTGCCTCCTGCAGACCCCCTACTAGTGATGTGCCCGCAACCAAAGTACATGCCCTTGACCGGAATCGAACCTGGGACCCATCAGTCCACAGGCCAACGCTCTATCCACTGTGCCAAACCGGTTAGGGCTACTTAGCATGTTTTGAACAAAAGTGAGGCAGGGGCAGTCTGTCACCTGCCCAGCTGAACGCAAACATGCCTGGCAGAACATTGCCCTCTGGTTCATTGGTCAGGCCTTGCAGAGTGGAGGAGGAGATGAGATACCGGGTTACATTTTAACCTCATGACTCGGTGGTAGGTGCTCCCTTCTTGGAGACAGAAAAGTCTGCGCCATCATGGCGATCTGTCTTCCCTCAATGCTTTCCCCTGCCGCCCCGGAACATTTAAAAATATGCAACTCGAGCCCTGACCGGTTTGGCTCAGTGGATAGAGCGTCGGCCTGCGGACTGAAGGGTCCCGGGTTCAATTCCGGTCAAGGGCATGTTCCTTGGTTGCAGGAACATCCCCAGTGGGGGATGTGCAGGAGGCAGCTGATGGATGTTTCTAATCGATGTTTCTAACTCTCTATCCCTCTTCCTTCCTCTCTGTAAGAAAAGAAAAAAAAAAAATCAATAAAATATATGTTTTAAAATGTGCAACTCGAGCCATAGAAGTAGCTTATAGCTACACAATGCATGCCAACGAAAAGGCATCAACCTGCCCCAACTCTGCTTCTCACCTTGTCCGTGTTTAAGGCCAACTAACCTGCAGGGTTTGGACAATAGGAGAGAGTGAAAAACCCCTCACAGGCAGAAGAGACGGCTGTTCCCTCCTGCCTGGCTCAGATGGCCAGAGGGAATTCGGGAGAGAAGCCTGTGGTGGAACATACAGAGGGCTTCTCAGAGGAAGCAGAACTCAGGAGGGGGATGTGGACTGAGCACGGGAAAATGTCAGGCTGATGAAGCGCCGGGAGGAGTAACTGGTGGGAGCAGAGTGCCTGGCAGAACATTGCCCTCTGGTTCATTGGTCAGGCCTTGCAGAGTGGAGGAGGAGATGAGATACCGGGTTACATTTTAACCTCATGACTCGGTGGTAGGTGCTCCAGGCCAGACCGTAGCCAAGGGTGCCTGCGACAGAGCATCTATTAACCCACAGAGCGGCAGCGGGCACCTTCCAGGTACCCCTTCCTTGTTCCAAGCACCGTTACCTCACTGGACCCTTAGCAGCTCTTAGAAGCAGGCAGAAGAGTGGTCATCATCTCTTTCCACCTATGAGGCTCAGAAATGGAGAGAGACTTGCCTGGGGACGCACAGCCCCTACCCTCGACCTCAGTGGGGATGGTAGGATGAGGACCTGGGCCTCCTGAGCGCCAGGCCAGAACGTGATGGAAGTGGTTGGCTGAAGGGGTGAGCAGAGAGCCCAGAGGTAGGTGTCACGTCTCCCCAAGGATTGGCCCTTGAGAGGGTGGGGGCTTCCCTCTGTTTATGCAGCTTCCTCAGCTGTCATGGGGCTGATCGAGACCACCCGAGGGCTCCTCCCAGGAGCAGGTAACGTCACCCACAGCACCCGTCTTCCTCTGCCTGCCCACTCCCTCTGGCCAGAGTACTTCCCCGCTCTCCTCTTTCCCCCCATTTCCTAGGCTCTGCCCTTCTGGCCTCAGAATCTGCTTCTGAGAAGAAGTCCTGGCTGATGCCCAGCCTGGGCCTTCTCTGGGCTCCTACTTCCCGTGCTGACTGACCATCCCCATTCCCTCCCGGCAGGAGGGACCCAGAGGCTGCCCCGGTGCCTGGGGGTGGCCCTGGCGAAGGAGCTCATCTTCACAGGCCGACGGCTGAGCGGGACCCAGGCCCAGGCCCTGGGGCTGGTGAATCACGCCGTGGCCCAGAACGAGGAGGGCAATGCTGCCTACCACCGGGCACGGGAACTGGCCCGGGAGATCCTGCCCCAGGTGTGCTGGCAGCCCAGCCCAGCGCGGGAGGGAGGACCTGCGCCATGGGGGACACACGTGTGGGGAGGCCAGGGTGTCCTACAGGGCCACATAAGATCCACATACCCAGACTCATAAAATTAGCCCTCTTCGAATCTTGCATCCATTTAGCCACCCAGTAAACAAAATTAAGTCAAATGTTAAAATGAAAATTGAATTCTGAGGGACTCAGATGGGCTTGAAAGTCTTCAGAACGGCACTGTCCAAGAGAACTTTCTGAGATGAGCGAGTGGTTGAGTTGCCTTAGCATATCATTAGCATATTATGCTTTGATTGGTTGAATGTATGAATGGACGAACGGACACTTAGCATATTAGGCTTTTATTATATAGGAGGCTTGACTAAGCCCAAGTGGAGCATCTCCTATTAGACACTATCTTAGGTACTTTCATTGGAACAATCCAGCTGAGTTGATTATCCTCATTGTATCTGTAATGTAACAGACCCAGGAAAGTTAAGTGACTTGCTCATCAAGGTCACAAAAAGTGACTGCAATGCCATAGCAGAGAGACAACACAGGTATTTTGGTAATTATTTTACATAATATAAAAACTACATACAATGTAAAAACTAGCATTTTATTCTAAAGAGTACACAATATGTACAAAAATTTCTAAAACTATAAAACTAATGCATTTAAAATATAAAAAATGTTCAAAAACATGTTACAAAACAAAAAATGTAAGTCTATAAAAATATTTTCCATTTATCATTGTAGTATTAACAGATGAAACTATTTGAATAATTATGAAAATTAAATATTTATTTTGGTTTTTAAAAAATATTTTTTTACTGATTTTAGAGACATTGTTTCAGAGAGGGAGAGAAACATCAATGATGAGAGAGAATAATTGATTGACTGGCTCCTGCAAATTCCACACTGGGGAATGAGCCCACATCCTGAGCATGTGCCCTGACCGGGGATTGAACCCATGACCTCTGGTTCATTGGTAAATGCTCAAACACTGAGCCACGCTGGCTGGGCTAGTATTTATTTTGAAAAAATCTTTCTCTATCTTCTATTTAAATAATCCTTCCCTCTTTTTATAATTTTGAGCCTTCCCTGAGGACAGGGACTATAACTTTAAAGACTAATAGTGACTTTGATTTAAAAGAAAGCATGTTTTGTCTTCATTTCTTTTTTTAGTTTTGTCACATATAAATGGAGCATCTGATGGTGCTACTCAACCAATTTTAATCCTATCAGATTCCTATTATGCTTGATCAGGAAGTATCTGATCTAAACAAAACTCTACGGGACTCAAGGTCTCGGCTGGCTACACCTTCAGAGGGGGCCTACCTAGCAAGACTGGTAGACTGAAGGGTTGTGTTTTTGCATCAACTGTGTAACTGGGTCTTTGAGCTTGATCTCAAGATGATTCTGATTTCAATTTTTAGTATACTAATGTAAGTACCAGTATTTCAGTACTTGAAAGTAGCTTTGCATCCCAAAACACCAGCATACCAACATCTAGTACTATAATCATTAATCCCAATGCTGGAATATCTGATGCAACCTAAAAAAGTAAACCTTCAGCTTCCAGCCAGTTCCTGGATGGAGTGGCTGCCAGGGGTGGTACATGGCTACCCTCTGGTGGACAAACCACTAAGACTAGGGAGTCAAATGGTTCCAGAGAGTAGGGTCCAAAAGCAACTTCTAATGAATGCAAGGGCTATAACTTAATACTCAGATTTCGCCCCTAAATTGAAAATACACATTTTGCTTTAAATATGAATTTGGTTACGTTTTCTACTTGAACATACTGCACCAGGGTGATTCACTGTCCTCATTTCCAAAAAACAACCAAATTATTAGACTTTTAATAATCCTCACATTTAAGTAGGTCTATATACTTAGAAATAAATGTGTCTGCTAACACATACACAGACATATACTGAAATGGGAACCTCCAGGATATTAGTTTTAAAAAAAAGGTCCCTACTAGTATGTTTATTATTATCCCATTTGTGTAAAAGGTGCTGGTACGACATGCCTTGTAGGAAAGGGTCAGGAGAAAGGAACTTCACTTTTTGTTTTATACTTTTCCATATTGTTTGAATTCTTTACTATCACATTTTAATTCATGTTTTAAAAATGTCTCTTAAAATTGGATTACCCTCTAAAGGTATATTCCTGTCCCTTAAACCATTCTAAAAAGAATTTAGTTATTTATGTACTAGAGGCCTGGTGCACAATCAGGGCCAGGGAGGGGCTGTGGAAGGGCTCCAGGGCGTATTTGGCCCATCTTGCTCATTCCCAATCGGCCAGACCCCAGCAGCAAGCTAACCTACTGGTCAGAGCATCAGCCCCCTGGTGGTCAGTGCATGTCATAGTGACTGGTCAACCAGTCAACTGCCTATCCCCTGGTGGTCAGTGCACATCAGAGCAAGTGGTTGAGCGGCCTTAGCATATCAATAGCATATTACGGTTTGATTGGTTGAGTGGCTGACTGGACAACTGGACACTTAGCATATTAGGCTTTTATTATATAGGATATAAGTATATATAGAGGTGGCCAAAGTAGGTTACAGTTGTGAGTATGCAAAAATTTATTCTTGTATTATTTTTAAATGTATTTTTATTCATTGATCAGCTGCCTCCTGCACATCCCACACTGGGGATCAAGCTTGGAACCCAGCATATGCCCTGACCGGAAATCAAACCATGACTTCCTGGTTCATAGGTCAATCCTCAACCACTGAGCCATGCCAGCCAGGCACTGTATTATTTTTTAATGGTTGTATTATTAATTATTATTACTAACCTACTTTTGCCCACCTCTGTATATTTATTGATCTCCTTCTTTTAAGCAACTGCACTTTTTCATTCATGGTCTAGATGTGCTATTATTTAACTAGTACCCTCATGAACATTTGTGTGGCTTACATCTTTTTGCTACTGTAAAATAGCTGTAATGAATAACTGTGCATCTTAGTGTACTTGTAGTTGTGCATCTGCAGGATAGATTCCTACAAGGAGTTGCAACATCAAAGAGTATGCTCATCGCCCATCTGGTGTGTCCCAGTGGTTGAGCATTGACCTATGAACCAGGAGGTCATGGTCGATTCCCAGTCAGGACACATGCCTGGGTTGCGGGCTCAATCCCCAGTAGAAGGTATGCAGGAGGCATCTATCTGATCAATGATTCTCATCGTTGATGTTTCTCTCCCTTATGTTTTTTGTGTTTGGTTTTTGTTTTGTTTTTTTAAGCATGTGCATCTAACATTTGCCAATTCTTGCCAAATTGCCTTCCCCAAAGCACTGTACCAATTTACTCTATCAATAATGTATGTAAATACTTGATTCCTAACCCTAGCAATAGTGGGCAATACCAACATTTTTACTACTTACCTGGTCTGAGGTTAAAGGGGCACCTCCCTGATTCTCATTTTCTTAACTAGGAATAAATCTGGGAACCCCTTGTGTTTATATTTTTCTGTGAACTACTTTTTTAAAAAATATATTTTATTGATTTTGTACAGAGAAGAAGGGAGAGAGATACAGAGTTAGAAACATCAATGAGAGAGTCATCGATCAGCTGCCTCTTGCACACCCCCTACTGGGGATATGCCCGCAACCAAGGTACATGCCCTAGACCGGAATCGAACCCGGGACCCTTCAGTCCCCAAGCTGACGCTCTATCCATTGAGCCAAACCGGTCTCGGCTGTGAACTACCTTTTCATATATTTATGAATATTTGTTGGAAAAATACTAGCTTTTTTTTTAAATATATTTTATTTATTTTTTACAGAGGAAGAGAGAGAGAGAGTTAGAAACATCGATGAGAGAAAGAGACATCGACCAGCTGCCTCTTGCACACCCCCTACTGGGGATGTGTCCGCAACCAAGGTACATGCCCTTGACCGGAATCGAACCCGGGACCCTTCAGTCTGCAGGCCGACGCTGTACCACTGAGCCAAACTGGTTTCGGCTATAACTAGCTTTTTCAATTATGGCTTCTATGCTATCAGACTTTAAAACAGGCTTTCTTTTTCTGATAAACTCTTACTTATAAAAACTTCAAATAATACGACTACTACAGGCAGAAAGTGCACCCTCTGCCTGGAAGTGGGGCTGGGAATGCAGTGCCAGGCCTGTTGTTGGCACAATTGGAAGCAAGACCAGACAAGCGAAGATGGCAGCTTTGATGCTCTTGCTTCCCAAAGGCTGTGCAAAATGCCCTCTTTCGATTTCAACCCAGGCTGGCCAGACCTCAAAGCCCACGTTCCTAATCCTGACCAGGCTTACCTCCACCGAGGGGAAACTCGCTTGCAGTGGAGGTTTGCATTTGCTGAGCTGAGACAGGCGGGTGGAGGGAGGGAGCAGCAGTGGGAACAGTGACTGGGAACCATACCCAAACTCCGCCTGCCTCACTGGACAACTCACCTCCCTGAGCCTCAATTAAAGATGGCACCATCCCGCCGGGACCGGTTTGGCTCAATGGATAGAGCGTCGGCTTGGGGACTGAAGGGTTCCGGGTTCGATTCCGGTCAAGGGCATGTACCTTGGTTGCGGGCACATCCCCAGTAGGAGGTGTGCAAGAGGCAGCTGATTGATGACTCTCTCATCAATGTTTCTAACTCTCAATTTCTCTCCCTTCCTCTCTGTACAAAACCAATAAAATATATTAAAAAAAAAAAAAAAAAAAAAAAAAAAAAGAAAAGATGGCACCATCCTGCAACTATCTACACCATTAGACAAGCCTCTGGGCGGGAAAGCACTTTGTAAACTGTTGTATTCATAGGAATGAATTAAATGACAAGAACCCCAGAGGGTCCGGATTGGGCAGGGTAGGGACCAGTCAGGCTTTCTTTATAACAGAAAAGGAGCGTGGACCGAAAACCAGCGGAAATAACGCTCAGCGGAAAGCTGGAACTCCGCTTCCCTGCCCACAACTCTTCCCCCACCATGGAGCTTTGTGTCGTTATTTCTACTCCCCAGTCAGCATTGATCCCCTCCTCAACCAAGCTTTTTCTTCTCTCTAGGCCCCCATTGCTGTGCGGCTGGGCAAAGTGGCCATTGATCGAGGAACGGAGGTGAGGGCTCTGGTCAGGAGGCAGTCGGTGGGGTGGGGTGGCTGGAGGCAGTGCTCTCACGCACTCTGACGGCTCAGCTGGAGAGAACGCGGGGACCGGATTCTTGTGACATCCAGTCCCGGAGTTCCTTGTGTGCCAACTTGTAAAGTTTGACCAGGTGACATCCCAGATTCATTTTATCCTCATCCTTTTCCCTTGGGGGTTCAGAGAGGGTAAATGGCCCATCTGGGTCACAGATCCAGTAATAAGAACCAGGTCTGTGTGGCCCACGGAGAGGGCCCAGGGTGCAGCTGATCCATCCCTTCACATCAGCTCCCCTAATCGTACATCACACACTGAATCTGAGCTGAGCCGAAGACTGGGGCACGGGTGAGTCAAATATAGTCACTGCCCCAAAGGTGGGAGGGGGGTAGGTACAGGCTCAGATCACTAGTAAAAGGTTAAAAGTACCAAGCAGAGAGCCAGTAGAGATTAAAGCAGCACTGTCCCACTGGGTAGTGCCGAGTTAGAGGACATTTTCTAGAGCTGGGCCTTGGAAAGGACGAGAATTCCAGGAAAGGCAAAAAATATTAGCAAAAGCACAGGGATGTGTAAACAAGCAATTCAAAGGGGTGAGTGAGAACAAATCATGGAAGTTAGGGGCATGGGTTCTGGTGCTGAGCTATCTGGGTTCAAAGACCTGCTCTTCCACATACTGCTGTGATTTTGGAGGAATTCCTTCACCTTTCTATTCGTCAGATTTGCCAGTTGCACAGTAGGGATGGTAACCTTTGTTGTAAAGGTTATACATGCCGTATTTCTCTTAGAACAGTGCTTGCTCAGCAGCCGTAATAGTGAGCTCTGAGCACCAGGGGCCAGACTATGAAAGCCTAGAACCTTATTCCCAAGGGCAATACGTTCGCCCATGGGGGTGACAGGAGGCATGGTGAGGCAGCCCATGAGAACACTGTCTGCAAAGACACAACCTCCTCGGCGCTACCGGCTTGTGCAAACCCTCCCCGTTGTGCTCACAGCCCCTATTGGTCCCCGCACTGTTATGTCAATTAAGGTGTTTGCTCTCCAGGAGTTTCTTTATCATAATCATCTCTGTGCGTGCCTGGCACACAGTAAGACTCAGTAATTCTCTGCCGGAGTAAGCCATGAACCAACAGAATAGTTCAGGCAGTAAGGTGGGTGAGCTCAGTGTGGATGGAGGTGGGCAAGGTCAGGCTTATTCAGGATTCTTTCTCGCAGGTGGACATCGCATCGGGGATGGCCATTGAAGGGATGTGCTATGCCCAGGTATGTGGTTGCTGCCCAAGTCCATGGATGCCTGTAAGCAGATGCTGGGCCAGTGGGAGGGCCAGGGGGACCTCATGTGCAATACATGACCAACTTAATAGGCCCCTCCCAGCCCAAAGGGTCTCTCTCTCAATGACAGTTGCTCCTCACAGTCAGCCTGGGCTGATCCCAGAGGAACCACACTGCTCTCCCTGGGACTGCTTCCTCAGCTACCTGGTGGTGGCACATTCTGTCCCCACCGAGAGAAGCACAGAACAGAGATACCTGAGAGGAAGAATGGCTTCCTGTCTCTGTGCCAGTGGCCACGGTAGAGGTCAGGGCAGAGTTGGGATGTAGGCCTTGCTTATTCCAGCCTGCAGGCTGTGTGTGTCTGACAGTGTGTCTGGGGCTAACCTATTTAGACCTGACTCCTGGGTGAGTCAACAAGTACTAACCTCAAGGTCATCAGATATCCAAAACTCCTAACCAGGGGGTCCTGGAACTTGCAGGGCCTGGTGTGAAAGCTCCCCACCAGGATTCAGAGCCAGTTTCTCACGGTGAAGCCTCGTATCAGACAGCTGTGTGGAGGCATGTAAGTGCGACAAGCAGAGGCCAATGACAGGCCAGGTGCCAAAGGCGCAGACTGCCTTCTTCAGGAAACTAAGGGGCCACGAGGCCCATCCCTTTGCATGGCCCAATACCAGAGCCCAGCGACAAGAGGAAGACTTGGATCCTGCCTTGTCATAGGCTGGACAAACTTGAGCAAGTCCTTACTGGCCTCTAGCCCTGCGCCCCAACAGACTAACATTCGGTGTCGTTTCAGAACATCCCCACCCGGGACCGGCGAGAGGGCATGGCCGCCTTCAGGGAGAAACGACCCCCTCGATTTGTGGGCGAGTAACTCCCCTTCAGCTCACGCCCGGGAGGCACACCTTACAGGGCAGGATCCAGAAGGGACACGGGCAGCATTGACTGCCCTCATTTCTCATCTCCGGGCTTCAGTTTCCTCACACGGACAATAATGCACATAAAATGACTCATATGGTGCCTGGTACGAAGGTGCTGACCTGGCCACCTACTGCTACCATCCTTCTTCCCCACCCTGTGTATATCCCCACCGGCGCCCATTGGCTTTGGAGAATGCCTCTTTCCCTACTCGTATGATAAACGAAGGATTAAAACAGGTGCCCTCTGGCCTTTGTAATTGTTGGCTCTCAGGCCTGACCTCTGCCTCTCAGGGAGCAGGTGTACTCACCTGAGATGGCAAGAAGCAGTAAGACCCCCAGTTGCTAACTGAACAATAGAAATCAGAAGGAAACCCAGGTAGAGGAGGAGGTGCCAGGGTCAGACCGCAGATTCCAGCTCTCCACCAGTTAGTGACTCTGTGTGCCTTAGCTTCCTCATCTGCCAAAGGGAGTTGTTGTGAGGACTTGGATAAAATGCCTCGTGTTCAATAAATGTGAGTTGTTAATGTGCAGTGTTGCGAGAACCATGAAAATGACTGTTGTGAAAACCTTTCGTAAACTGCAGGGCGGCAGGCCACTCTGTCTTTGAACGAAATAGGCTTCAGGGGCATTGAGAAGGAAGCGATTAGCTGACGGAGAGAATGGAGGGTCAGGAAATAGGTGGGTAGGTAACACTAGAGTTGAAGCCGGAAGAATTAGGCATTTGATGCAAAGAGGAGGAAGGTTGAGGGGAACAGCATGAGCAGAGGTGAACAAGAGGACCCACGGAGAGACAAAGGGGGCAGATAGGCACATAGGCACACTGGTCTCAGGAGCCCTCTTGCTGCCCTCACACCAGGGCCTTCCGGTCATTCTTTACCAGAGCTAAGCTTTACCTGAACTTCCTGAGTCTAGGCCTAGAGTCTCTAAGCCACGGGCACGGACACACACCAATAATGCTGTTCATTTGCTGCTAAATACAAATGCACTCCACGGCTGTGCTCATTTCCTGAAAGGGAGAGTATCACAGAACAGCCCAGGCCTTAGAATCAGCCCCATCTTATCAGAAAAGTAACACCCTCACGGAGCTTCCTTTTTCTCACCTGTTAAATGGGGAGACTAACACCCCAGATGACTGTGTGAATCATGGGGAGAGGTGCCCGGTGTTGAACTGGACCTCAACAGGCACAATGTCCCACCACATCCTCACATTAGCAAAAGCTAGTATCTGGTGAAAGAATGTTCCAGAGTACTAGAACCCAGGTCAGAGGATTAGGACGGGTTTTTGAAGTCATGCACAGGAGTGGATGAGAGGAAATACAGTGGTTTCAGGACTATAGGGGGCTACAAATTTCCCTTACCCAGTGGAACACACTCATTTCATTCCAAAAGATGGCACATATCATTCCAGTTAAGAGTGGTCAAAAAAGAGAATTAAATTCTAGTCCTAAAATATGCTAATAAAAAAGGAATTTATTTTTATTCTTTTGAAAAAGTAAAAACACATGAATGACAAAATATGGTTTGTTAGTTGTCAATAATAAGGTGAGAAAGGAGTCCATACTCTATTCTACAGAGGGGGTTTGCAAGGACACAAACAATTTATATTGTGATAGAAGCTGATTTTCAAAAAAGCCCGTATTCTTGTCACCCAGCTGGGTAAAAGCACCTCTTGAAATCTCTGGCAAAGACTTTTTGTGGCTCCTTCTCTTCCTCTCATTCTGATCACAGTTCTTCTCCAACTAAAACTCTGAGGGACTGAGATTTACAGTCCCCATACAATCTTCCATCTACACACTATTCTCAATCTTTAGTCTCACCATGCCCCTGCAGCATACCCACATACCGAGAATGTCATACCACTCAGTCTAACATGTAGAATTGAGGAGAAGGGGCCACAAGAAGAATATCAACAACTGCAAAAAATATATTTCTTTTTCCTCCGTCCCACAGTGGAATATACTTTGGTGTCTGCACAGTTCCAATACAAGCTCACAGGTCTTCCCAGAGTCCAGAGCTTGATTTTTCAAAATTGCTGAGGGAATGTTCTCAGAATTATTTCAATTAGGGCTATGACCATCAAAAAATGCAATCTTTGGTAACTTACAAACACTATTAATAAAAGATGGCCACCCTGGCTGGTATGCTCCGTAGTCGGAGTGTTGGCCCTCGCACCAAAGGACCGTCGGTTCAATTTCCATTCAAGGGCACATACCTGGGTTGCAAGTTTGATTCCTGGCCCAGGTTGGGGGGTAGGGGGGGTGTGGGAGACAGCTAAACGATGTCTCTCTCACATCGATGTTTTTCTCTCTATTTCCCTCCCTTCCACTCTCTCTAAAAAAAAAAAAGTCAATGGAAAAAATATCAAGTCAATGCCAGGACCGGTTTGGCTCAATGGATAGAGCGTCGGCTTGGGGACTGAAAGGGCCCGGGTTCGATTCCGGTCAAGGGCATGTACCTTGGTTGCAGGCACATCCCCAGTGGGGGGTGTGCAAGAGGCAGCTGATCGACTCTCATCGATGTTTCTAGCTCTCTATCTCTCTCCCTTCCTCTCTGTATAAAAAAATCAATAAAATATTTAAAAAATATATCAAGTCAAAATTAACAACAAAAAATTAAAATTAAGAAAAGACACAATCAAAATATACCAAAAAAATTAAAAATAAATGAAAAATGGCCAACTCATAGACTCCAACAACAGGTTTCAACGTTCAGTGGCTGCCGGTGGAAGCTCTGCCTGCCCTTGAGGAACAGAGCACCTCCAGGCCCTTGGTTAAAAGGGGCATTTAACACAAAGGGCATCTCTGCTGATTCATGAAATGCATTCTGAAGTCCTCAAGAATGGAGGCTGCAATCCGCTGTGCTTGAGGGTCTGCCTCACTGTGCGCCTGGATGTCACACAGAAGCTGCAATCCTCCTCCTTCAACTAACATTGTGCAGTACTTGCTGGCTGGAAAAAAAATTAAGCAAAAAACTTGATGGACAATTTGGTATTTTAAATATTCCCAAGTCACCACATTCACCTTTTTGAAAGAAGGGTACAAAGTTTTAAGCCCTCTGACAGAGGAAGTAATCTAAAATAAGTCAATTCAAAAGAAATACTCAATTCAAACTCAAATTAAGCTTGGCTTGTGTAGTGACCTAATAGATGATTATTTTTTTTAAATATATTTTATTGATTTTCTTAGAGAGAGGAAGGGAGAGAGATAGAGAGCTAGAAATGTCGATGAGAGAGAAACATCAACCAGCTGCCTCCGCACACCCCCTACCGGGAATGTGCCCGCAACCAATGTACATGCCCTTGACCGAAATCAAACCTGGGACCTTTCAGTCCGCAGACCAACGCTCTACCGCTGAGCCAAACCGGCTTCAGCTATTTTATTGATTTTTTCATAGAGAGGAAGGGAGAGGGACAGAGAGCCAGAAACATCAATGAGAGAAAAACATTGACCAGCTGCCCGCTGCACACCCCCTACTGGGGATGTGCCTGCAACCAATGCACACACCCCCAACCGTAATGGAACCCGGGAACCCCCAGTCCGCAGACCGATGCTCTATCCACAGAGCCAAACCGCCTTCAGCTAGATGGTTATTTTAATATGTTTTCTTCTAGACAACCTCATGCTTCACATAGCTCTAACCTTAGCAAAAACGGCTAAGAACAAGAACATCTTTTATTACAAGATTAATACACATTTCAGGTTCAGGCAATATGGTGAATTAGATAAGCTGAAATCACCAGATGCTGGATAAAATATAACAGAAATATTTAACTGCAAAGTAAAGATGATGTCCAGAAGCCAGATGTACAGAGAAGGAAACACCTGAAGTACATAACCTAACCTGCAGCTGTTTGGGAGCAGGAAGGGACTGTCAGTGTCAGCAACATAGAAACTTAGATTCTCATTTAGGAAGTTAGAAACAAAATCAGTTCAGCCAAGCCGGTTTGGCTCAGTGGATAGAGCGTCGGTCTGCGGACTCAAGGGTCCTGGGTTCGATTCTGGTCAAGGGCATGTACATTGGTTGCGGGCACATCCCCGGTGGGGGTGTGCAGGAGGCAGCTGGTCGATGTTTCTCTCTCATCGATGTTTCTGGCTCTCTATCCCTTTCCTTTCCTCTCTGTAAAAAAAAAAAATCAATAAAATATTAAAAAAAAAAAAGAAAGAAAAGAAACAAAATCAGTTCATAACTTTACATTGGAATCTAGGTGGCTATGAGCCAAGCAATTTTAAAATATATATATATATATATATTTTATTGATTTTTTACAGAGAGGAAGAGAGAGGGATAGAGTTAGAAACATTGATGAGAGAGAATCATCAATCAGCTGCCTCCTGCACACCCGCTACTGGGGATGTGTCTGCAACCAAGGTACATGCCCTTGACCGGAATCGAACCTGGGACCTTTCAGTCCGCAGGCTGATGCTCCATCCACTGAGCCAAACCAGTTTCAGCAAGCCAAACAATTTTTAAAAAAATATATTTTATTGATTTTTTACAGAGAGGAAGGGAGAGAGATAGAGAGCTAGAAACTTCGATGAGAGAGAAACATCAACCAGCTGCCTCCTGCACACCCCCCACCAAGGATGTGCCCGCAACCAAGGTATGTGCCCTTGACCGGAATCGAACCCGGGACCTTTCAATCCGCAGACCAACGCTCCACCACTGAGCCAAACCGGTTTCAGCAAGCCAAGCAATTTTTAAAATACTTTTACCACACGTGAATTTTCCCCTAGTTTGACTATATGCATATACACTGAGTGGCCATATTATTATGATCTCTGAACGCATAATAATCTGGTCACTCAGTGTATATCCTATATAATAAAAGGCTAATATGCAAATTGTCCCCTCAAAGAGTTCAACCAGCAGGCAGACCAGCCAACTGCCCATGTCCCCTACCCCTGGCCAGACCCCACCCATACACAAATTCAAGCACTGGGCCTACACACACACA